TCCTTCTAACTGAGTTGTCATTTCTTGGTGTTGTCCAGCGGCTTCCATCCAATTTTCGGCCATTTCAGTTCGATAATTGTTCGGGCGCCAATATAACGTTGCGCGCCTCCAACTTGCACGCAACCAAGATGTGACTGTGAAAACTTGTATAAAAGACAGAGCCTTGTGAAGGGTTTAAGTCCCTTTTTATTCAACGTAATAAATTACAATTGCGTTCTCTTGACGCTTACAGACGGTGCCAACTCGGCAGTCAAATAAAAATAATAACCTGAAAAGAAACTAAAGACAAGATTCTAACTACGAGGCTCTCTAAAATAACTAACTCACCGCGTTTACAATACCGCTGCTAATTCAGCAGACTTGAAGCTCACTGGAACGATTAACACTACTTCCCGCCAAGCACATAGGCCGAAACGCGGGGTCCTTCAAATTCTCGCTAACTACCTCCGCGCTCGCTAAGTAAGAATATCACACCGAACTCGTTTCCTTCTATTTAAATCATAATACTTCCGCTGATAATTTGAATCCTTGCGCGTTCTACTCAAATTTACATATTCTGGCATTGGCAGTTCCAGGGGAAAGTAAGGCTTGACAGGAAAGATAGTTTAAACTTAAAATAAATGTTAGTTAAAATAAATATAAACCCTACACACTTATAAACAGACCAGGTTTTATGTTTATGGCATCACTGTAGACGACGGTTGGCATCAAACAGGTGTGACAAGTGACTTGGGAATTGCTGTTTTGCCGTAAATTTTCAGTTTATGAAGATGCCTCCTAACTGTAATTATTGACATTGGAGACCAGAGGCTGATTCAACTCTGCGGTCACATTGGTTACAGTTATTTTCTATTTAGACATTACAATCCTCTTCAATACCCGCCGGTTTCTTTTATTCAGCTTCTCCTTCCGTCCACTATTTTGCATTGCCCAGCCCTCCTTGTCGCCCTATGTGTACGCTGTTAAGACTTTAGACAGCGTACCTTTAGAAACGTCTAATAGTTGGAATGTTTCGGTAACAGTTGCTATAGGTAGTCGCGCTACTACAATTTAGTCTCTTTAAAACTCTGTGAGGTGGTGCCTTTTACGCTTTTGACAAAAATTCAAGATGTTTATAACTTCACTAAAACTAGTTCATCTTACGCATAATAAGTGATTTTTCTATTAAAAAAAAACTGGTAGCTAGGATTATATTTAAATGCTAACGAAGCACATTCTTAAATGCCACTTTTATTTACAAGTGTTTCCATTATTTTGATAGCCACCTGTAATGATATTATGCTTGAGTAACTGTAAGTGAGCGCGAGTGATCGCATGAAGACGTGGGCCACCATCGGTTATCATGGATGATTTCGTTTTCTGTGAAACGCAAGCCTCTCAACGACAACCAGTTACATTATGAAAATTATAGAGGCTGAAGTTATGCATATACTGTATATACTGTACTTTTCTTGCAGTACATTCTTAGCGTTATGTTCAAACAAGACGACGCCCTAGTCTGTATTGCCTAGACTAGAAAAGCCGCAGCCCAACATTGTTTTTTTCTAACCTACCAATTCTTCAGAAAATAATTATGTATGGTATATCATCAAGCAGAGTTTCAGCGAACTAGAACTCTTGTTTTCAGCAAAACCAATGAGCTATGTACTCGAACTGAAACAGTTTGGCAAGTAAATATTCCAAGAAATACATTTTTCACTCATTTTGCTCCATGACGTATAGTAGTTCATATTTTTGTTGCGGAGTGCTTCACAGATCCTGATTTTGAGCCAATAAAGCAAAAATATTTATGAACGTTTAATCGTTGTGTTACCATTAGTAATATATGGTATAAATTTCTAACTTGATGATTCTTTCAAGATGTTCAGTTTTTAGGTCAAGGTGGGACTTAATTTCTTTCTATTATTTCTCTTTTGAACCGAGAGGTTGCTTTGAAGTTCTTTAATTTTAAAACACCGTTTTGGTTTTATGTTTTGAAACAGTGAATATTTACTCATGTCAATATGACAGTTTTTTACATGTACAAATACTTTTAACTCATTAATCATATGCACAATATTTTTACCATTTTCCTTATTCCATTATGCATTTATTTTACAAGACCGAATTTTTCAAATATTTCATTGAATTTTGCCGCTATGTTCAAAGAATTTTGTAAGTTTTCTTTTAAAGTTCTATTACTTTTAGAAGAATTTATTCTTTTTGTGTTTTTAAAACACTCTTTTGGCATCAAAATTATTAACAGCTTAATTTAGTTTAAATATCACGCTGAATAACAATCAAAAACAAAGCCCAACATTAAGAATCAGCGTAAATTAAAAAAAGGTTTTTGCAATACTAGTTTTGATAGTTTTTGAACTATGTTCTTCAGCCGCTAAATGCAAATGAACTCCCCCCCCCAAAACTACTACTGTAAAAATGTTTTAAAAATTTACTCTGATTCTTAATGTTGGTCTTTGTTTTTGATTATTAACAGCTTATCAAATCATCGAAAGGTTTCTTCATATAATATTAAATACTAGCGAAAGTACCCGATACCATTTTAAATTAGATTGTGATACCGCTGTAACCCTTCTCTAATAACGATGCAAAAAATACGATTCATATTCATACATTTCTCAATCTGATGCGATACGGAACCGACATAAAAAATTTCGATAGACAAATAAACCAATTTTGTCTCATTATATCAGCAATAATAGCACGTAGTTTTTAACGATTTTCATCCTTCTAATCAAATGGTAGGACCTCAAGTTCCATCCAATATTGCACCTATATTCAATTTTAGCCGATTAAATGTGGCCAAAAAATTGATCATAATTGATCAGAGATCAATAACACGAGCAAGCAATCAAACACACAAACAGGCATTCTTCTTTACATATATACATTTTGTAAAAATTACAAATATTTGATTAAAAATAGAGCAGTGGCAACACTTCTGGAAATAAAGGAGAATTTTATTTCCAACGTGCGAGATTGTTGACACTCGGAAAAATAAGGGAGAAAATTAGCGTTTTAAAGAGTTTTTAATTAGTATCTCCAATTTTCAGCTTTTCTGTTTAATGATAGAACCCATTTAGCTGTTTTGGAAAAAAGTGGACTTCGACCTTTTCCAGGACCCAGAAAGAATTGTAGAAAGTTTGGTGACGATAGCTTTAGTAGTGACTGAGTTATTGACTAACAAACAAACACACAGACTTTCTTTTATATATATATAGATTATTTTTCATCATTTGGATATTTTATTTTAAATTATAGTTAGCTTCATATTTGTTTCTTGCCTACTTAATTTTCACGTGTATGGATCTTAACATCTCTGTGCGGTTACGCATACTCGTTCATCTACATCTACACTAGTAGCAGAAATCAAGATATAGAAATACATGTGCTGACATGTTAAGTTGATTGATTTCCGAAAATAATTTTCATGGACCTCGAAATTTTCTGCGAAAGGTTTGAAAATTGGAGATTCTAGAGAGTTTGAAACACTCTAGAATATTACTCTTTCAATATCAATAGTAATAATTTCCTAGCAAGTGTAACGTTTATCAGGGAACTTTTTGTCTAAAAAGATTAAAATTGGAAATAACTGAGCAGAGATACTAAAATCAGAGATAAATTCAAAAAGTTATAGTTCAAAACGTAAAGAAATGCTTAGTTTAACGGAAAGCATGATATGATTCAATTTATAAAAATTCTTATTTACAGAAAAGCATGCTATACATATGCTGGCATGAACCACTAGCAAAGTTTCAAGTTCTAAGAACTTGTGGTTCCGAGGGTTTTGATTTAAAATTTTATTTTAGCAATACCCTCAGAATATGTAATTGCTAATATATTTCCGTACGTATGAGGACCCCATTCCAAGTAATTTGATTCTACTCCGAAATTCCAAAATCCAAAGTCCTGTGTGTTAAAAAATATTCCAAAGTTCTGTGTGTGCTTTAAGATTGTCCTGTGTGTGCTTTCAGATTCTTACGAAAGACATCTGATTCTGAAAATTACATTATGCACAATATTTTACATTTAATTTAATTTTACATTTAATAAGAGCTATTTTTCTAAAACAGCAATGTGGAATTATCAATCAAATAGAAATTCTTGTCAGGACAATCAGGGCCTAATTACCGCTTAGGCCCACAAAGCCCACCTGTAGAGAGCTAGCTGTAGAGATCTCCAAAATCATTCTATTAAGCCCTCATAATTTGTTTCTGTTATAAGGGAAATGGGAATTAAGGGCACAAGAAAGAATAATTTATCCAGAGCCTCAGATATTCTCATTCAAGGCTTTATAACAAAATGTGATCTTAAGCGTGTCCGCAAAGGAAACAAATCGCATGTTGCAAGGCTGAATGACTTTGGAGGATACCTCTGTAAGCTATGTCCTCGGATCCATTGAAACTGATTTAACGCAGTGGGGGGTAATTCTTTAAAAAATTATGACTAACGTACTGAGAGTTTTATAAAATTCTAAGGTAATGTTTTCCATTCTGTATATACTAAATTAAAACAGTGTCCAGCAGCGATCGAGCGGGTAAGAACGCTGAATACTGGTAGCTTGACCTGTGTTGGCCGTTGTGCTGGCTGAAGGGGCAGTTTTTGTAACATTCGAAGTTTAATAGATATTGAATTACGCTCATTTAAATTTGGGCTAAAGGTTTTGATTCGCCCTACACCACAGCGGTATTGTTTTAGTTCATTTCTGTAACCATATGTTTTTAAAAAAGAACAACTATGCAAAAGTTGATAACAAAACGTTATGCTAAATAAAATTCATTCTCAATCGAAGTGAAATAAATCAAATGAAAATTTAGGTTCTTTGACTCAATTTACTGTAAGTTGATTTTAACGTTCTAAAAGAAATGAAGTGTGATGTTGTGTACTACTCCTAGTCGCAAATCGTAATGATAGAACCCATTTAGCACTTTTTAAAATTTTTTTGATACCAGAGTAAACAAAGAAACGTTTCAAAAGTCTGTAAAATATTTATTTAATAGGTATAATTCGCCTTCATAAGCTGCTAAAAGAAGCTCAAATAAATAACTGGCATGTCCAAATGTATAATTTCGAACCAGGTTTGACATACAGAGAAGTACTTTGGAAAGTTAAGAAAGACCTACAGAAACTCAGAGAAAAACTTGTTTGGGATGTTAGTGATATACGCAAACTGAAAACAGAACATGACGAAAATTACAAAATTGTGTTGGATGTACATACTAGGAACTTATATTCTATTCTCAAACAAGTAAGATTTATATTTCAGTAAGATATATATTGCTTTAATATCATTTGAATTTTTAATGCATCATAAATTTTCTAATAAAGTGCTAAACATTCCAGGCTCAGCAAATAGGAATGATGTCAGAACATCAAGAATATTTCATCACATCTTTAGTAAGTTTATAAACATTTTTATTTTTATAAAAAATAAAATTTTTTAATGTTTGTTTACTTAAATTAATTTAACCTTAAATGTAAGTATTAAGTCTAAATTTGTGTTTTAGCACAAGACAATTCTTTTTCATATTTCATGTCTCATTGTGCGCCTAAAATTAAACATAATGTGAAATTCAAGCTAACGTAGGATTTGATACCTATTTTTCCTTTTAGCAGTTGCTAAAACATTTGTATTAAGGGCAAATCCCATGCAAAGATAAACGTTTTTCACAATACAAATCAGTTTCTAAAGCCTTCCTCCTGCTTTTGTATTCCTGCTTCTCGAGTCGGAATGCAAACGTAGAAGTTCATTAAGACAGCTTTCATATTTCAGCTAAACTTTTAAGAATGCTTATCTAGATCAAAATTGATTTATATCGTGGTTATTATATACGTTGTATACAAAGGAAAGGCGAAGTAACGCCAGAACTTAGCTATCTCCGTATAACTGCCATCAAATTATAGCAAAATGCCAGATTCCGATAAGTAACATTTCACTCCAATATTCAAAATACTGCTGGTTATTGTCATCGCAGCCAATCAGAAACAAGGTACAGAACGACCGAGAGATCTCACCCATTAATGAGGGCAATAAAGAATTTCTCAATGGTACTTGATTTGAGTTATCGATTATAGGCGGTAAGTTAGCTACATCAGCAAAATTCCTGGAAATATTGGTTTTTGTAGGAATTCTCGAATGATAGTAAATTAAGGAGAAATTAGAAAGTCGAGTATAAGTATACTGCTGCGTGTAATTCTGAAAGCGAGCTCAAATGCTAAATATTTTGAAGATCTTTCTTTAAAAAATCAGTAAATAGTCAGCAAATGCATTCTTTACGTGATTAAATTATATACATTGTCTGAAAACAGCCAAAATCACGGCTAACGTTGTTCCGCGTATGTTAAACTGAATTTCCAGTTCCGTAAAAGAGAGTGAAGTAGCAGAGTTGTTACTTCTCCGCGGATTTAAAATTAACGTATTTTCATTTCTTACGGACTGCTGTAAGAATTCGGTTTCAGTTGATTTCTTGTTATTGTTGTTCGAATTGTATAATTAATATAATATTCATGAAATAATTTCGCTTCTATTTTTATTTAAAAGCCTAAGAAGTTAAATTTTTGGAATTCTCTGGGAATTTTTAAAGTAGTTGGATCATAATAGACTTATTAATAAAATAGGTACAACTCTAATATACGCCCTAATTTCACCAAATGTGGCGATATGTGTTCTGCGCTGGTTTTTGGCGCGATTGCGGGTTCTATGGCAACCCTGTTGACGTTGAAAAATCTTTCGCTGGAGCTCGTTGGTTCGCCTCTGTGTCTGAGAAGATGGGAGGGAAAGATAAAATGGTAGTTGTTGAATTGAAGTTCGGCAAAAGGAAATATGATTGTGGCTATCCTGTTGAGGGGTAGTGGGTATTTGGAAGTGTGGAAAGAGGGTCTGGGAGATTATTTTTAATGGCAGTGCATGATAGAAGTAGGGATTTGTGATTTATTTATTTGTGAACCATAGTATAAATTTTCTGGATAGTGTGTCCTGGCTGTCATGTAAATAGGATAGTGATTACGTGGCGGCATGTTTAAAGGCGGTATGAAATTTATATTTCTGCTATTCGAAAACGCATTAATTCATGGTAAGTGCATTTTATTTTATCCTTGTTCTTATTTTGTAGAATGCTATGTTCATTGGTTCTTTAGTTTGAATTTCTGTCGTTATTGTTGGTTTTTTAAAGTGTTTGAAATTTATTTTAGTTTATTTTGTTGTTTAGTGTCTAGACTGTACAATTCGTAGATGTTTTTTAAAGTTGAAACAGAACGTGTGTACATGGTATTATTTGAAATTTATTGTTGTTATGTTATTTTTTAAAGCGAGGAGTGCGTAGATCGTAGATTCCTTCCTTGCCTAAATTGTGCAATTCGTAGAATTTTTTTTAAGTTTAAACAGGCTGCTGTGTACATGGTATTCTTTGAAATTTTGTGTTGTTATGTTAATTTATTAAGCGAGGTGTGCTTAGTTTGTAGATTCGTTCGTTGCCTACATTGTGCAATCGTAGATTTTTTAAGTTAAAACATGTCGCTGTGTACATGGATTCTTGTCAAATATTTTTGGTTAGAAACTTTACGTTTTTGCTATCTAAATTTTTTGTTTTTGTTTCGGATTTTTAGCTAAATTGTGTGTTCAAAACGTAGTTTCTGCATGTGCGAAAACCACGTTTTTGGAGACATTTTAGGCTAAAAGTTCAAAATGTAGACAAACAATTTAGATAGTAATATGGCAGCGTGAAGTTTCTCGCCAAAAGTATTTGGCGACTTGAGGGCGCATATCAGAGTAGTTCCATAAAATAAATGAATAGCTAAGTTATTTTACTCAACATAACGTCATACTCAACATAACATAATAAGTTTGTTCGCAGTAAATTGAAGTAAACACTTTTCAATTACTTCTTTTTAATAGAAAATGTTATGTTATGAGTTTCAATACTGCTGATGAATTAAAAAAGAATGAGAGCAGAAAGAAGTAATAACTGAATGGATCATTAAATTATCCTAAGTTAGGGCCCTAAGTCCCTAAGTTAAGATTGAATTATCCTAAATCTTCAACCTTGCGCGCCCGAGAACCACATCAATAAATTCGCAAAGATCCGCGGGCCACATGTCTGTCAAAAAATAGTGTAGTCAGAAAATTTGTATGAAAAAGGGAGGTTTGTTTTGCCAGACTACAATTGATTCTAAGCGAAGAGATAATGTTACACATTTGTATATATTGAAGAGACAGCGTTACACATTGGTTCCAAAAAGTTAAATGGAAATAGAATTAAAATCTTTTACAACATTTTTACCCATGGGGGAAAAAAGTATAATAACGATTGTACAGCACGATGTTGCAAAATGCATTTACAATAATAATACTAATAAAAAAATATTTGCATTACTGGCGGTAGATGGTAGTTACTTTAGTTTTAATGTGAAATTTGGCATTGTTTTTGCTTGATTAAAGCTTCAATATTCGGTTTAATCTGTGTTGTTGCAATTCGTAAAGTTTCCTCCAAAGGTCTATCTGTCAGCCGTGTTCTTGTTTTTGATTTTAGGATTTTCATTTTACTAAAACGTTGTTCACATGTGTAGGTACTGCCAAAATTTAGAAAATGTGAAGAGTTCATGTTTATGAATTCCTGGATGCTTGTTTTCGGCCACATCCGTCGAATAAAAATAAATTAATGTTGTATTTTCAAGAAACTTGCATTTTACTGCAGAATCACACTGTAAATCTATAAATTCTAATTGAAGTTCAGGTGGAACACTTCCAACGTTTACTGGAAATGGCGACATTCTCATGAACATTTCAGTTTCACGAAAATCGGAAAATCTGCTTTTTAATTTCTCTTTCTACTTAGAAATGCATTGTACATAATTATTTGAAATCCATGTTGTAGAGTTCATGCTATAGACACACACTCCCTCAATTTTGGAAAGTGAGTTTAATTCTTATTTAGCAACTGACTTTCCCACAGGATTGATAATATCTCAAAAGCTTTCACAAACTAATAAAGCTTATGAACAAGTATATCTTTTCTTAGTAAGCGGTAGTTCTAATCATTGAGATGACCTGTAACATCGACAAGAAATGCAAAGTCTCTCAACCATTTCTCATCACTGACTCGTGAATAGATTTCTTTTTAGATTCCATGAATTGTTGAACTTCGCTCTTTAAAGAAAACAGGCGCTGAAGTGTCTTTCCTCGGCGCAACCAACGTACTTCCGCGTTATACACAACGTCACCATATTCAGCTTCCGAATTACTCAAGAACTGTTGAAACTGCATGTGTTTAAGTCGTTTAGACCGAATGAAATTAGTCACTTTTATAACAGAGATAAGAATCTATCCTTTTTATGGAATTTAGATTTTATGCGTAGTCAAATTTTTTATTTTTAAAATTTCATGAGATAAAGTAAAATTTTTGAAAAACTCGTCATTTTTAGAAAGTTTTATCTCGAATAATATCAGGCAAGTCAATAAAATATTTTAAATATCAAGAATAAGAGCAAATGAAATTTTTTACGACAAAAAAAGCTAACAAGGCAATTTTTCTTGAAATCAAAATTTGTTTTAATTCTTCAATTTTTCTTCAAATTGAAATGATGGGTCATTAAGGGGTATCAGAAACCCCTATACATACAATGTTAAATTGGCCATTTTCGATGTACCTTTTCTCAAAATCTGCTGTAGATACAAGCTTGAAATTTGTTCTGTAAGTATTAAAAGTATACCTGTCTGATTATACTGAAATGAGCTTTTGAAACATTTTGAATTTTAGAGTAAATTACAGGATATTTTGTTAGGCATAGTAAAATTTAGCACTTTTCTCACACAAAAAAATTAAAAAAAAATTTTTTTCTAAGTTTATTACAAAAAGCTCATTTTAGTACATATTAGGGAACCTAATAAATAAGCCATAAAAAGTTTAGATACCTGTGAGCAGTAGTTCCTGAGAAAAGGTACATCGAGTATAAAAAAATCACGTTTGGAGAAAAACGCGTTTTTATGTAAAAATCCTCATTGATCAAAGCAGTAGATAACAAATTAAAACTAGATTTTTTTTACAGTTCTAATTTTCATAGAGATTAAAGAATGGTATTTTTAGAAAGATAAAAGTGTAGAGAAGTTGAAAATGCAAAAATCCGAAATCACAATTTTTTGAAGATTTTTGGGTTACAACTCCCTTAAAATGACTTCAGCGGGCCACTGGTTGAAGACCCCTATCCTAAGGCATTATAATACTAATTCAGAGTATCACAGCTTTGAAAGTTATCAGCCAGAAAATAAATTAAATTAGGAATCGTATAATCACATTTAGCGATTCATAGCATAGTTCTCTTTTTAACTGAACGTAAGCAAGAAAAGCATATTTCATTTAGCTACTGTATTTTTATTTACTTTTTAAAAATTTTCAGGATCTCCATACCATAGATTTAGAAGACTTCAAGTATAGCAGAGCGAATATATCAAGTCTTCGTTTGATTAAAGACTGGAATAATGACTATTATCGTCTTATTGATGCAATGCAAGGGCCTCCATACAATTATGACACTGGCCAAGAACTTCAATTACGGGCAAGTATTTAATTTCTTTCGTTACTGGCTTAAGTCTAAGCTACTTAACAAGCTAAGAAAAATGATCGGAATTAGCAAGTTTAAAGAATATTTAACAATGTTAGCAGAAGAAAAAACTAGAGTCTAACCTAGGGGTAAGCTGAAGACTGAATGGTTTGGGCAAACATTATAATACAATTATGCTATGTGATGTTATGGATCAATGAAGGATTAAATTTTCGATAAATGGTGGGAGATAAAAACATGTAAATTATCTTAAATGTAAAGAAAAAGATTTATATCTGTATTTAATCACACCTGCCTGGTGGCGCACGTGTCAAAATATCAGAAATAGTTTTCCTTTTGAAGCACTTCTGGTACAGTTTCTGCAGATATTGAAAACATTTAGTAAAGTTCACAGCAGTTTCGTAATAGGGAAATAAATTAAATCGTTCGGATCCCGCAACTATCTATAGTTCGAAATCAAGACATTACATGGCTTACAAGAGTTTCAGAGTTGGCATCAGAGTTTTCTGCTTTCTTTGCATAAAGTAGAATATGTAAAATACAGGAAACAGATTTGAAGACACAATACATTCCATATTAACTTTTGATGGAGTAACAATATTTCAAAAGCTTATTTTTGCAGAAATATTTCTGTATGCTGAAAACATGTGAAAACTGACGTTGCAAATAAACATTCGGCTGATCTTTGGAATTATGGTAACAGGTAGTTTGGCGACATTTTGGAGGCGATAAGGGTTACTACCTAGGACTTTGGTAATAATGTGAGAAGTACTCAGTTCCGATTACCCATTATTTTGTGTGAGGGAAATGAGAGATCATGAGATATGTCATGTGACATTAATGGACGAATTACAGTTCTTTAATCGGAAAAGGGGGTAAATTTGGAAAAATGATTTTGTATTAAGCTTCATTGTGTGTTGTGTGAAATAGTGTTGATTAATTTTCGGATTGCATGGCGCTATGTAAAGTGAATTCTGAATTTTTATTGCGTTTATCTGATAATAATGATAAGTTGAGATTGTGTGAAAGGAAGGATATTACAGATGAGTTTGAATGGCGGTGCAAGAAATCTGGTGAAAATGGACATTTTGTGAAACGGAGTGTAAGGAAGGGTACGTGGTTTGCTGAAAGTAGTTTGAGTATGGGTGAAATTTTATTAATTTCTTATTACTTGGTGAATAGACTGCCAGTTGACTACTAGATTTCGGTTTTAGAAATTAGCAGTAGTACTGCAGCCGATTGGAACTCTTTCTGTAGGGAAGTGTGCGTGCGACGTAATGAAGATTCTGAAGAAGATTAGGTAAGTTAGTATTTTTAATCATTTCAGGATATTATTTTTATGCATCGTTCTAAATGTAAGGAGTAAATAAATTAATATGGTATTATTGGAAAATTGTTATTGGCAATGATTTAGTTTAAAGTAATTAGGATTGTAATGTAATTTTTATTAATTTAATGTATGTGCTTATTTATATTTTAAGTAGTGTTTTTTTAATTTAATTATATTTTAATTTAATGATCATGATTTTGTGAGTTATATGTTGTATTTTGGGATACGTTTGGTAGTAGTACGTTTTGAGTATTTTTATGCATTTTCGTGAAATTTTTCTAATTTATGAGAAAAAAGCAGTGTACATGGATATAGTGAAGAGTGTGCGCAATGCCATTTTTGTGCAATTCTGGGATGTTTTTTTAAGTAAAAAAAGTCGACGTGTACATGGTTTAGTGATATTTTAAATTAAATGATAGTTATTTTGTGAATTTTATGTTTGTAGGAATTTGGTATACGTTTTCAGTTGAAGTAAACGTGTATGGAAATAATTTAAATATTTGACACTAAGTATTTGTAACTATTTTTAATGTTTGCGTATAAATTCGTTGGTGACGTTTATAATATAATAGATAATTTAGAGGTAAAAGCTTTTGGATATTTTATTTATTTTATACGTGGATATGTTCATCCTTGGAAAGGGTATATACTTTTTCGCGATCAGGTAATTTCATATATGTGCTTTTTACCGAGTTTAAAGATTAAGAAAATTTTCCTGCATTTTCGTGAAAAATTTTCTAATTTATAATAGCAGTGTAGATGGATAAAGTTAAGAGTGTGTGCAATGCCGTTTTTGTGCAATTCTGGGATGTTTTTTTAAGTAAAAATAAGTCGACGTGTAAATGGTTTATGTGTATGTGCTATTCTGAAAAACGCGCAAGGAGTTTGCTATTGTGCACTTTTTCCCAATTTTGCAGTTAATATTTGTCATGATTAAGCAGTTTTGTTACATAAAATTTCTAGCATAAGTGTAATTCGGCTAGTAGATTGTTGTAAAAAGTGTTGAGTAAATAAAAAGAAAAGAAACATGTCTTTACTTCGTAAAGACAAAATGGCGGCGAAAAAAAAAAAAAAAATAGACGGTTGCTGTAGCAGAGTTGGTCGTCAAATTTTCGCCAAAAATCGCCAAGTTACCATAATCCAAAAATTAACCAAACAGTCTTCTGGCTAACATCGCATGTTAACACATTGCGACACATACTCGTAACCCTATACATTTCATAATATGCACTGCGTTGATCATTGCACTGTACATGAGGCACAATTACAAAACTTGTTGCTGCTACATATTATGCTGAACATTACTCTTGACAATTCAACATAATAAATAATAATAATGTATCTGAACAATGTATAGACTGAATAATGTAATAGACTGTATAAGATATAACTTGATTATTTAGTACACAACTTGATTATATAAAACATAGTTTTTGATACAACAGGCTTAAATAAAGAGCAAAATTACACTTTACAAACAAATTACACACGTTGGGTTTTTATGCTGTGTTTATAATATATAAAATACAGATAACAGATTTGAGGACAAAGTACAGCGCATACTAATTTTGATTAAATAACGATAAACCAATTTTGCTGTATCCTGAAAACATACCATAAATAATTAAATTTTTAATTAAACATTCTCCTGGACACATTGCCACCACATCTGGCCTTACAAGTGGCCGATGCCGACATAGGCAAGTGCCCGCCATTGGAAAAAAAAAAATGCCTCATGTGCCATGCTTCCGTGAAAGGGTAAGACGTAACTTAATGATCAGGAGTACCGAGTACCTACGTCGTCACAGACACAATGTTCAGTTGCCACTATTCCCCTTTCATAGAAATATTATGGAAATCATCCGTGTCCTAAGATGAATCGAGAAAGAAAAGTTGCCGAGATGAGTTGATCTTGGGGAAATCTGTGGACGAAATCATGCGTTTTACGGACTTGCGATATAGAGTCCCATTCCTCTTGCCATTGTTGCTGAGCTTTAATCCGGCGGAAACGAAACTCGTGATCAGTCTATTGTGATATTAACCTCCTTTTCTCTTTATTGCTGAGACGATTGGTAACATTTGCACTCTTTGGATAAAAAATATTATGTAGAATATTTGGAGAGTTTTTAACAAATTTATATTATAAATTAATATTAACAAAAATAATTATATAAAGAATTACGATACCAATGAATAGTTTTTGCAAGATGAGAACAGTTATTTAATCATGTACATGTATGATGAACTTGCTGCTATAACGGTTTCAGACATCTGAGTAGTAATACATTTTAAAACATTCTGCGTTCTGTTCAGTCAAGAGCGGAGCGGAGGTTCTCAACTAAGAGGAATTCCCTCCATAGAAGAATTTCATGTGAGAATATTATTTGGAAGGTTATTACTTCTCTAATGCAATGACATGCCGTCTTGTAATTTGAAATGACTTAACTGTATACAACTGACGTTTCGATTAGAATGTTGATGACAAACTTACTGGTGTTCAAGGCGATTATCGCAACTCCGAGGGGATTGTGAACAAGCATTTCACGGCTGCAGGTGTACTTTCTAAGCTTTTCGAGCTGTTTGCATAATCTGGAGGGAACACATTTAGGTATCTCTATAGTGCTACCAATATTTACTTTCAATTTGGCCGATATCCATTTTTGAAGTAGCTATTTACTTTCACATTCATTTAAACGCTTTTTATGCTTAACTGATTGACGTATTAGCTCTGAAACAAAAACGATATAGTAAATCAAAATTTGCTACCATTAGCAGAGTAATTATACATTTCAATAAAATTTATGTGTTTTATTCCCATTTTCACAGCTCCATCACCTTATAAGTTCCTAATGAACACAGTCTTATGTAGGAAGAAATGTTTTAAAGTCTTTTTAAGTAAAGTATTTCAGATTTGCGTTTAATTACATTTCGTTCAAAACAGTACAATGAAACACAACACATTTTGTAACTTTTTTAAGATTAGTAATTAATGCTTCATTATGGTATATAGACAGACGTACAATCTTATAATTTAAAGGCGAATTCGGTAATTTGTATTCTATCTTTATAAAGTGGGGAACATGGCATCAAAAATGAAAATGAAAATACCATTTCTTAATATTTTTACATGCGATTGAATTTTATTCATTATCTGAGGTAAGAAAACAAGTTTAATAAAATAAATAGTAATTTAATTTAATATAGAACAATCTATATTAGCAAATATGGAAGCAAGTGTTTATAACCGAGTGTCGGACTACAACTTGCCTTCATAGGATGCAATGCAATCTGAAGTATAGAATAGCCTATTAAAACTCCTATTAAGTATACAACGATTGATAAATCCTTTTAACTTTTATAACCCTCCAACATGGATTTAAATTAGGGAAATTTAGAACTTCGATCTAATTTTTCTGTGAAATAAATATCAATCTAAAATTAAGTTTTAATTAGTTTCACGAATAACTGCTGCAGATCAACGCAGGCTTCTCATAACTAGCAATATTCTGTAGCAAAATCGAATGTGGATTCCTCCCTGAGAGACAGTTACTAAGTTATGGGATTTTCAAGACTTAAAATCTAGTAAATGCTGTTCTTTAGCGTTTCTTTAAAATTTATTTTAGATATTTACTAATTAGCTACTAGTCATTTGCGGGAGAAATTTTTAAAGCAATCCCTTTCATTCATTTCAGACAGAGACAGCTCTGATGTACGATGCAGTTCAAATGTTTATTTTTGCTCTGCAAGGACTTGATGAAGGAAAATACGTTCAGAAATTTCCTTCAATCTCGTGCAATAACCCAATAGCGGAAGGAAGTGATGGTACCAGTCTCATCAATTATATGAAGTCTATAAGTTTAGCATCAAAGTTCAAGAAGGAGGAGGAGGACAAAAAGAAGGAGGACAAAAAGGTAATTATGAGATATGAAGTATATTTTTACTTAGCAGTAAATAAAATTTAGATTTAATAAGAACATTCAAAGACAATATTTATTTGTTTATCGTATCTGAAAATGACTCACTGTTATGTTCTATAAAAGTTTTCAACTAACTACATGATGTATTCAATATATGATAGATTTCGTTTAATGTGTGTATTGAAAATACGGCAAAGCACACTAGGGCTATCTGCCTAAGGGGAGGGATGCCTTTCGTGGAGGACTTTCTAAGTGAAACTGGCTCGTATACACGTTACACATGGGGAAAACCACGAAAACACCCATGCAGCCAGCCCGTTCGCGGGATTCGAACCTCGGACCGAACTACCAGTGTTCAGCGATTTTACCGCTCGGCCGCTGGTGGGCCAGATTTCGTTTAAAATTATAATTTAAATAAAACGAGTTGTCATTTATTACAGCTAAAATTACTCCAGTTTTCCAAAGTAAATTAAATTACAACTTTCTGTCAGTTATTCGCTAGGAATTCTGAAATAACTGATGAAGTTTCAACTTAGCAGCTTTGGAAAATGCAAAATATTTTCGTTAATTCATTTTAACTTTTATTAAGTTATCTAAGCAATCTCAATTAAAAATTTGACTTAGCACATGATATGGAATAATTACAAAAAGGCGTAGAAGTTTTATTTACTGCGCATGTAATGTTATTGTTATAAAATAATGTTTGTAAGCCTAAAATTTTTGCTGTTATTGTGGATTATCTTTCCTTGTTAGACACGTGAAATATTAGGTTCTGGAAGCAAACGATATTGTTTTCATTACATGAAGAAAATCACATACTCTTCAAGTAGAAAACATTGCCAGTACGCTGGCTATTATGTATAACCATAATAAAAGTTTTCCTAATAGACTTATTATAAACTAGTAAACAATAGCTATCAATCATTGTGTCGTAAAATCAGCAAGCGTTACGAAATCATTCGCCATATTTTCTAATTTCAGTTTCTATTCAGTCGTTATATGTATATAAGAGTAACAATTTTGTGCAATTAGAAAATTTATTTCCACGTTCTGATCATAATCTTCAGTTCAGATTGCTAACACGTAAGCTCAAGTTAACTTTCAGTTATTAAATGTGAAAAATCATATTAGGGAAAATAATTTATTATGACTACATAGAACTCAGTCTATCGATTAAAAACCTATTTCGTGTGGAAGACATTTTTAGTACTACCTTTTGCCCGTGAAAATTGGCAAATATTCCCCAAAGTTACACCAATCTTTCTTCCAGAATTTTGAAGGTAATGGCATCTTTATATTTAAAAATTAATCAGTATTTTACCCGCTTCGTTTTGAGCTTAGTAAAAACGCTTTCCCCGATTTTTTTTCTTGTAAAGCCCTTCACATATACCGGAAGCTGTTTCTAGAGCTTCCGGTCTTTGTTTATGAATACAAAAACGTTCCGCAGGTAATTGCTTTAACTTATTATTGTTTTGTCGACCATATTCAGCGGACCATACCGCGCCCATTAATACGCACTTTTAGGCTCTCGTTTAGTTTGACTCACATGACTTCGAAAATAATCCACTACTTTCTCTTCTGTATAAGAAAGACCACAAATTTTTATAATTTATTTTTTAAAATACAAGAAAAAATATAGCAAAAAGATTGAATTTATATCCTTTTCATGAAAACAAATCATAGTTTATAGAGAATCAATCGGGGTTATATCAGATGAAAGCGCACATGTTATAAATGTGTTGTTATGCCACGCTTATTCATAATTAGCTCTAAATCGCGCTGCTTGGCAACAGCTTCACGGTCAGCGAGATGATACTTAAGTATCGAAGAGTACAGTAAAATGTTATAATCAGACTTGATTTTTGTTTTGTCTGAATAAAAATTCCAAAATTTACACCAGGAGCATTTACATATTCTTGCAAGTTCAAGGATAAGAAAAATATCCGCGTTTCGCAAAAGTACCATGCTTTTTCATGATGAGCCTAAAGCATAAGGCATTGCAGTTGTAAAAATACTTAATAGTATTTAAAATTGCGAATATTAAGAAAACGGAGGACAAAATCTACTGATGTGATGGTTTAAGTGTTCCTCTAAAGAATATAATTAGACAGGATGAAATGTTACATGATGACCATAATTACTAGAAATGAAAAGGCGAGACTAAGAAGTCTGTATTGCTATAATGTACAACAAAAATGTATCATTAGAAACGATTCTTTTGATGAGTTTTAAGATGAGCAACATAAAAGAAATTTATACACTAACTAGAACAGAAAAGAATATTCGACCTGTACTAGCATGCATAGATAAATGTTTGCGATGTTCAGATATAATCTCTAAATAATAGTTTAACAGGAGTATTTAAAGGAAAAAAATTGCGTTTGCTAAACCGCCAGTGGAATAAACTTTTAAAAGACTTTTTTTCCGGAAAAACCAAATATTGGGTCTTAAGTAAAAGTATTTTCTAGTCTGATTTTATTAAAAACATTTTGAATTGTTTGAATGATAGTTTTAAATAAACTTTACAAGGAGTTTAAAAGGGTAAAAAGCCGTGATCGATATATTTAAAAATTATAAAGTTTCGAACTATTCTTATTTCATTGAAAAACATTATAATTCAAGAACATACCAAAAATCTTAACAGTTTATTTGCAATAAAACCATTCTAATTGTAAATTGTTCAGAGACGTTTTAGCGTAAAAAAGCGATAATTCTTAAATAACTGATATATGTTAATGCTTAACGTATTATTAAATATGTGTTATACTTCATATATAAATATAACGTTTTTAAATGAATATGTCTTATTTAAATATGTATTTAAATAAGAATCTCTCCGTTTATTTTTAATGTATAATATGTCTCTTCATAAATCTTATTTCGATTCTTCAGAACAAGCAGGGCTTAACAGGAGATGTCGTCTTTAACGGGCAAGGAATAAGATCGACTTTCAACTTGGATATTATGCATCTTAGTGAGGAAGGTCTACTCGAGGTATGTGAACTCAGTTCATTATTAGGTATTTCAAAGAAAGTTCTCAACAATTTAAATGGTAAGTCAAAGTTTTTCAGATCCACTGAGACAGACCTAATTCGTAAAAACGTTATGAATCTAATTTATAATTTTCGTTTTGGAATGAAAAGCTTGGATCATTTGAAGTATAGTTTGAAAGAATTTTATGATACTAACCTCTTAATGCACTCAACCGACTTAAGTCGATTAAACCGATCTAAATTATTTCCGCTCCCTCTAATATATACATTCAAGAATTTTATTTCAGAAATGAATACTACAGGATATAATATATCCGCTGCAGTTTGAGTTAAAAGAAAGGAAAAAGTTAATAGGGGTTGGGTTAAAAGAAAAAGAAAAAGAAAATTGGTGGAAAAAAGACCAGGTACTAAAATTTTATTGGGGTTTAAGGGGTTAAATTTACACGTGGAATAAAAGCTCACCAGTTCTAAATTTCAGTTTATGGAAATTGCAGTGTTCAATATTCCGGAAGTCCGATGATTATGCTTATATCTTTCCAACCAATTTTGGCCATAATAAGCTGATTCATTTAATGCCTGATGAGCGCATCACGTAAATAACACTCAGTTGATGTCCGCAGGAAGGAAACATGAGGCAAGTAGGAAGGAAAAGACCGTTAACCGGAATAGTTAAAAAAAATCAGACAGCACGGGCTTCTCGGGAAAACTACAGATTAACTCGTATTAGGTAGCGAAATTTTTATCTCTAAGACAATGTGCTGTAAACGTCTGACATTAAAATCCTCCGGAAGAATCTCCTAGTGTAAAGAAGCGGAGAAATTGTTTTCGAAACAGTGTATGCCTTTAGCAAAGAATTTTTCATTACTCTTCTGCAAGTAGGCAATTACATAATTCTTCAATAATTGTGCAAGAGCTTATTTCTAATACCAAAATGTGCCTCAGTAATAGTTCTAACGATCTTGTTTTTCACAGTCTGAAGCCACTCTCTGTGTAGCCACAGGCCGGAGACCACAGGTAGTAGCCACAGGCCGGAAACGCATAGCACATAATTGGCCTAATAACGACGATATATATTTAGAATTTCCCGTAGAGTCTAAGCCCAGAATACTTTCCGAGTAACACTTGCAGTTGACCGGAAATAGCACTAGTTATACCTGCACTTTACTTTATATGTGCATGTTCGAATTAAGCCTCCGATTTAAACAAACCTTTAGTTAACTGACACTGGGTACTTTCGGCACTTGGTAATCCTAAATTATAAAAGGGCTGATTGTTTATGATGACCTTTTGGCATCAAACAAAAAGAAGCTCTAGCCGGTATGTGCTCTGGTAGTTGGATTGACGTCCTTAGATAATCCTAGGGAAACTACAACTCCAACGTGGTCAGACTAAATACGTTATAGACATCCAGTACCATGTTAATACTGATATTAGTCAGGATAATATCCAAAATATCTGAACTTGTATGCGGCAGTAGGTAAAAGGTCTGCACATAGCTCGTCTGGGACGTAAAATCCAATAGGATGCTTTTAGATAGATTCATGAAGCATGTTGCCGTCGATATTGGTGCGGCGGGAAATCCCAGTCACTGTGCTTTGCATTAAAATCGCCTCCAACAATAATTGAGGAGGAATACGGAATGATTGCCAAGAGAGAGACGTCCGTTAGTTTAGGTTGCAGAGTATTGTAGTATGCAGGTTGGTAGCTTGATAGTTGCACTGCGATTTTTAAAATTCTAAACCAAAGTTTCTATCTGAACACTAAACAGGAAGGGTATTATGCATAAATACAAGAGTACCCTGTAATTTAACTGATCACAGCGATAAGACACGTAATTTTTTATTGTCAGATTTTAACCGGGTAAAGAATGCGTCCCTCAAATGAGGTAGATATCAATATCATTATTAAGAACAAATAGCTACGAGACCATTAGGCACTCCATACTATCATCATAATAGGAGGGCAACCATTTTAATGTTGTCGTTGCTTGACAAAAGAACTTTTCTTTGCCACACGTTATCATGTTTTATTAGCAAAGTCCAGACGAACGTAAGGCTTTGACCAAAGCTTTTAAGTATGGAAAGACTTTCTTTGTCTCGTCGATTATATTTGCAAACCCTACAGCAGCAGTAGCATAAGACTCATTTGTAACGAATTACGCTTGACTATTTCCTGGTGGGTTGATTTACTTTGGTTTGTCTGGTGTAGGTTTAGCACAGTCCCTTGAGAAATGTCACATTTTACACAACGAGGGTCATGTTTGCAGCCGGTTAAACTTTTATTTTTAATGATTTTAAAATAGTGAGTTTGAAGATTTCCTTTGAAATGCTGTTCTTAGAAAGAGTTAAGATTAGGAAAGGTTATTTTGCCCTGTTGCTGCATCTCATCATCTGGTCAATTCGGAGAGGGAGAATATATGAGTGATATTTTATGTCTTCTATCAAGAAAGTCAAGTGATCTGTGGGTTTCAGTATTGCGCACTTTCAATTCAAAATGATCATTTGTAATTATTTTGCCGTACAAGTCGACGTTTGCAACCTTTATCATTTCTCGTAGTTTTCTTCAGATGCGTTTGTTGTCCTCATTCGTAACTAGTATGGCTCCAACAAATTTTCTACGATACGAAAACCCTTCGGTATCTCTGCTGTCGTACTGTTTCTAGTCACCTGATTTTTCTTAGGTGTTTCTTTGCTCTGTTCCTCTTCCATAGGCTTTTGAATCTCAGGAGAGTTTGACTCCTTTCCGCTTTCAGGAAAGTAAACATTTGCATGATTTTTACGAATAGTTAGGTCATTATATTCTGAATCCTGAGCACGAACTCAATGCTGCGAAACTGTTACACGTAGAAACACCAGTGATATTAAGATCATGTTTTGTAAGGTTCCTCGCATGCTTTTTCCTGGTTCTAACTTTACCAAAAACATTTGTTTGATTTATTCATATCCCCAGGAGTACTTCCCTGCTCATGGAATAATTGCAATTGAATACACCTTTTATCAATGAAAACTAACCATTTTGGCTAATCTCCAAATCAGCTTCACTAGTCTTATTTGCATCAAAAGTTTCCTTGATGCCATTAACCATGTATTGCACTAATGACAATTCAAGTTCAACACCTTCCGCTTCAACTTCCATTTTAGTTAAAAGGTCCAAAATTTAAATCTAAATTCTATCCAGATCCAGCCAAATTCAGTAAATCCATGCCCCGCTAAAATCACAACGAGAAGCTGTTCTGAGGAGGTTCAGATTAGAATTAGATGCTTTAAGTAACAATACAATACTTTAAAGAGCATACCAAGCTAACGAAAGCCCAAATTTCTTCGGCGTCATGAGCTTTTACAACTCGCATTTCTAAAATCCGGCGCCATACCCGTCCAGGAGATTTCAGAGATAGACTAGTCTTTTCTATACGAAAATTCTCTGCTTTTTGAGGGAAACATTTTTATAAATAGCAAAATTATACTGCCCCATGCGTTGGAAATATTCCGGGTATTTCCAATATATGCAAAATAATCTTGTACGTCAAGAAAAACATCTAGCATAAACAGAAGAACTTTAACATAAATAGGAAACATGCAACATAAATAGGAAATATATAGCACAAAATAAAATGACATATTGTTACGAATTCCGTACATAGATAGATGATTTTAATGCAATCATATGTGAAATTGTATTTTTCTGTGTAATGTAACGAAATAAATTTTAAGATTAAGCTATGCTGGAAAAATAAGAATACAGGAGCATGTTCATTTAACATTGAGTAAATGAGTATCTCATTAATTTGGTGAAATATCGCCAAGGTGACAACTTTTGGTAACTTAAATGACAATGGTGTTGGTAATCTAAATTTGGCGAAAAATTGCTTAAAGTTACCAAATTTGGCGACCGTCCGATCCCTGCATCACCGTAATATGTATTGAAATTGAATAAATGTAATTGACCGCTATCTTAGCTGTAACCGTAATCCCACGCTTTGATTGCTTTCCAGTAATTTCAATAATTTCGAGAAGCACAAAATAATAGACATATCTCTGCGGCCGGATGAAAACAATAAAATCCCGGAGAGAGAGCATCTGAGTTCAGTTGCTTAGTTATTGTTAGAGTTGTAGTTCAGATTGAACTGAGATCAATGCTATTTAGCTTTCTCTTTAGATGCCATTTGCGTTCCGTTGTGTTTAACGAAGTTTACTGATTATACTGTGTGATACTGTGAACACTTGTACGAATATTTCTGTGGAAAATTGTAGAAGTATGAAATATTTCATTTGATAAAAATAAATTTTATTACTTATTACCGGACTTGTGCTTTCAATCTATTAGGACCCAGTACGCATGAAACAATAGGTTAAAAATAATAGCTGTTAACGCAACAAAAATCGATGTAAAATATTAAAACCTCTCAGAGATAAATAAGTTCTTGCATAAATTGCAAAATAAAGTTAAACCTCCTAAGCTAAAATCACCCAAAACAATAAAATGTTTAAAAAATAAGAATTGTGATTTAATTACTTCTTTAGGGGGGAAAACTGCAGTCTCACGATAAAGTATATATCCGCACAAATCTCAAGTTTGATTCTCCGTGCATTCTAATTACTCGAATCGCCGTCTCCTTGGATTGTTAAGGGGAATGGAAGAACACCAAAGTGAAATTTGTAAATTTATAAAATTTTTTAGTTCTTTGGATTTTGTTGCTTTTAAGAAAAAGCGTTTGTTTCTAAATCCTTTCATTATGCTACCTTCTCTTTGGGACTCTTTCAGCTTAACTCTTTTATTTTATGCAACTTATATATTATTAATTTCTCTCCTGTAGACTTATGTTAGAAATTAAACTAACAGGCCCATTGATCACATGTAACTAATTCTTAATCTTATTCTAAAAACTAATTATTATCTAATTTTTACTACGCCATCTTGTTTTCAAGTAATTTTATTTCACATTTGCTTTATGTGTTTTAAGACTGCATTTTTAGATTCATTTTGTTTTCTAAATAGGGCACTGAATTTATTGCAGTATTAACTGATTTTATATCATTAACCTCTGCCTGTTTCAGGAACAGAGCACTTGACAAGATTGGTGTTAATGGGATTATCTAATTCTTTTCAACTGTTGTTTATGTTATGGAAAAAAAAGAGTAAAACTGAGTATTAATTTAAATAGTGCTTCATTAATTGGCTAATTTAAACTATTATATTTCTAATCATTTTCTGATTCATAAAATGTCATCATTACAAATTTATCGCCAACGATTCAACTGAATATGAGACAATTTCGTTCATATAAATTAAATATTTTCTTAGCCACATGAAATTTTCAAATATGGAATTACATTTGGAGACTATATCCAATCAATGTATTTTTGACATATGTGCAAGATTTTATATATTTCATTTTTGGAAATATGCTATCATATTCATCAAAACAACACTTTCGAGATTTCACTGCGGAATTTAGAACGCGAATTTATTTAGTAATTACGATTTTTAAATTAAAAATTTACTGCTCTTTCTGTAAAATTATTTCGTACAATGCAGAAACTCATGCATGTTTCATACAATTACGCGAGAGTTAACGTAAAAGAGTACGACTTTCAAACTGAAGCTCATGGTCAACAAATTCCTACTTGAGTGAGAGTTTGCTATTCGCTGATCACAAAATGATACGCATTTAGTAAGTGGATATATTATATAGAAATTATCATCTCTGCAATCAGAGTTAGAAATTTCCAAATTCCTAACTCATTAGGTATTAAAAATTGCAAAAGTTTATTTGCGATATTAGGCCAACTGTTGAAATTGTTCTTAAACTAGCGACTCTTCTGTTTTAGTGCTATAAATTAATTAAAACTGCATCATAAGTTGTAGTTAAAATGAAATTTTTGTTTTATTGAGTTGTTAATTAGTTCTTTATTCTTATGCTGGCGACGGCTTGACTGGATTAAATCGTGTTATCATGAATAATTTATTTAAGAATAATTTACAAATAATTAATTAATTTTAATTTTAATAATTTTAATTAAATTGAGAATTAATTTTTAATAAAGAATAATTTAATTAATTATTGATTAAGAATAATTTAAGAATATTCGGCTTCGATTTAAAACTGAGGCGGATGATTATTCATTACCACCTTGAAATGGCGAACTGCGTTTTTGTTTACTTTCTGCTTTTTTCTGTAAAAGGGTAGACGTAAGGGATTAAAGGTAATCTTCCTATGTATTCTTAATATGATATCAGCGCATCTAGAAGTTGGAGATCGCCTCGCAAATTCACGGCTGACTTTTTTCACCTCACGAAACTGAGATTTCTTCTTATGAAAATCTCAGGGATTCTACCAGAATGAAAATAAATGAATAAATTGAAATTTTCTCTGAGAATCTATGTTATTAGTTTCGGGTTCGGATAGGTTGAAAGCATTTTAATCAAACATTAACGCAATTACGTATTGCAAATATCAGATAAATAGATAATAAATTTTGCAGATATATAAAAATTAACTAATTTAATATATACAGATAATTAACTAAAGTTAATTTTACTATGAAAATATAGAATTTTTTTTATGCACAGGTAGGACGAATGTATCTACCAGATAAAGCTGTCAACATGACCAGAAAAATTCCTACATTTTCTCCTTTGGAGGAAAAGACGCTTATTGTTACGACAATATTGGTAAGCATTAAAAGTTTTAGTTTATCAGTTTTAGTTCATAAGTTTTATTTTTATGCTAGTCGATTCCTTAACACATAATATGGAGATTTAGTAAATATGGAACGAATGATCAAGAAATATTATTTAGAATGCATCTCTGAAGTCTTTCATATTTTATTTTTAATCTAGTGAAAGGAGGCCACGAAAAAAAATCTTTTCTGAATCCATTTTAAATCAGTTTTATAATTCATTTGGAGAAAAAGGAGTCCTTTTAAAAATGAAAGAGGATTTAGAGAATAGTAATTTTGGAACAGAAAGGCATGAAATTTTAGAATAGCAATGATGAAAATAGGCCCTTAAAGAAATTTACTGAGTGACATTTTAAAATTGTTGACAAATAATTGCCTCTCAAAAATACTCCATAGTCAATAAGGATTAATTAAAACTCCAAGTTGTTTAATATAACACATTTATTACACATAAGCACATTTAAACTCAATATGTGCATCTTTAAATATCAACAAAAAGATGCCTTTTCTTCTTATAACACAGAAACACAGCATAAATTACTCTTAAAATTAAAAACAGAATAGAACGGACTTAGCAATATTTTATTGTTGCCAGAACCTAACTACCAAAAAAACCGCTCTAAATACGCTGTAACCCAATAATATCCACTCTGAGAATTGAAGATTTATGCTACGTTTAAAATTTGGGGTAGAACAGAATTGGGTAATATACGCTTCATACTCCGTGTGCTCTGCCGAAAGCAATCTGACGCCGTTAAGAGTGTTCAGTGCTTTAAAAAAATTGCGAAATCAAATGGCTACTGAATATCGTTTGAAGAGCATTCTGACTAACCTTTAAATTATATGGTATATATGCATTTGCTAAAACCTAACATCAAGAAAAGACAAGAAAACTCACGCAGAACTTAAACTTTTGTTAATATAATATCGCGGAATATAATATTTCGCATCGAAACGTATGGCAATAAACTTCCTTAATCTACAAAATGCTCGCGTGTATTTCTTCCCATTTCTTATCATATTGTCGCAAAATCCGTCAGACATTCCCTCTCCATATTTCAATTATAAATTTAGTGATTATTATATATTTATTAATAAACTAGAGAAAGTTTCTTTCAACAAAACTTAATTACTTTTTCTTATTCTATTATATGTATCGTCTCGAACACTAAGACTAGTAATGGAAGGTGAGTGCTAATTCGGAAACCCGAGTGCAGGTTCGATTTCTTTTACTTAATAACAGTAAAAAATTAGTATTGTGCTTATATTCATAAAAAGAAAAAAGAAAAAAAGAAAATCTGAAATGTTTCAGATCTTAAAGTGTCCAAAGGGGTGTTTTTTTAGCATTTTGTGTGTTACATTTACTTATTAAATATCCCGCTCTGCGCACTTAAACCATAAAATTCAATTCAACAGCAATATTGCAAAATAGTTTTAAAATGAGCATATCTTTAGAATTTCCGATGCAGAGACTCACGCGCTGGAGATAAAAATGTTTTTTCTGTACAACGTTGCCAATGCTTGCTTTGAAATTCTTGAGTTTGTTAATGAAACATTCATTAAAGTTTTACAAAATAGGAAATCGATCATAAAACAAATTTCAAATTTCAAATTTGGTCTTCCACATGCCCATATTCGTAGGAGGATTACGTCATTCAAAATTCGATGGCTGTATGTACCGTTGTTTTATCACAATGCGAGAAATATACATACATTTATTGCAGATTTTTCATTATTTAATTTCTTTAAATATAACACAGGGCAATAATACTTTGTGGCAACAGTTTGAAAAGTGATTCGCCGTCTGTAGTGAGTCGACGCAAAATTGCAAAAACGAAAACAATAGTCCTTCAGAGACAAAGCCCCTTTGGACTAAAAAATATGGAAATATTGCGTTTAATGCCAAATACAGTTCTGCACTTAAAATAAGTTGTTATTATTATTATACCTACAATAAAAATTCCTTTTAAAATGCAGTATGATTATTGAAAACTTGACCACTTAACAGAGATTGCGAGAGCGTGAAAAGCGAGGAATCTATTGCAATTTTTTGAAGGCTAAACTAAGGTGATATGAGCGCGCGATATACGAGAACAAAGGCAAAATACTAATTACAGATACAGTTAATGTAACCGAATTTAGAAATTTTCCGACGTTAAAATTCATGATTTTCAGCAGGCTTTGAGATTCTGTATGATGGAAAACAACATAAGGCATTGGAATGGTGTTGTATTGTTGTGTAGCGAATTTAATTTAATTAAGTGATTCATAAAAATCAAAATTTTAATTTGTAATTATTCAAAATTTGAGCTACACAAGTTTGGTTATATTCTTTTTTGGCCTATAATTGTAGGGTGTAATATTTATTTAGCTTCCCGAGTTTACGCGAACTGCGTCGTTAATCGTGTACACACAAAACAATGGATAGGTGATTTTTTTCACGTAATAAACTCAGTTTTCATGTCAAAATTAATTTGATTTGTTAGTATTTAATATCATTAGTTGCAGAAAAATTAGCTCTTTAAATTTTGACATAACTTTCGTTTTCCTAACTTTAATTGCATTTCAGTTATGAGCTTTAATTAGTAGATTTTTCTTCGTTTGCTTGTGATTTAGTTAAAGGGGGATGAAATGCCCTCTTTCCAGTTGAAAAGTCACTTTTTGCGAGTTTCAGAGTTCTTTCGTTGGGACCCCTTGCAGGGTTGTTGAAATTCCTAATTTCCCCCTTCCACAGGTGGTGTGTATTTGGCGAGGGTTTGGCGACATAGAATTTTCGTTGAGGTTTCAAAGTGGTGGATTTGGCGAGTTTGATAACATGAGGGAATGCTGTTGTTGCAACTATTTTAACTTTTGGTGAAGAGTGAGTTGTGCCAACTTGGCAGTCCAGCGTCCTTCCTTTTAACGGGTTGTTTTGGGAAACGAGCACACTTTTTGATACGTCTTCTGCTTTTTTTTTTTTTTTGAATTCCTTTCCGTGCTGTGCGCAACGGCAGCAGATTCTGCCGAGAAAATGATTTTCTTAACCGATAATGTTACGGGCCTCGTGCCTCCGCGCCTTGAGCGCAGGCCCTGGTTTACGGGTATCTTTGTCTTCACCTAATTCTTCGTTGCATCATCATTTTTTTGGGTGTATGCGTTTACATTTAAGTTCTCAAGAAATTTAATGCTGAAAATCGTCGTTTAGAAGGATGTCTCTACCTAGTTCTCTACCATTAGAAATGCTTCATTAGCTTCTTGCTTCCTCAGACGATAGTTTATTTTATTTGGTTGGTCAACACCCGCTGCTTCTATGAAGTTAGAAGTCGGACTCGCCTTTTCCACCGACTGATTCCTGAGCTGCAATTTTCTCCTTGCTGACAGCTGTCGTCTCCAAGTCCTGGACTGTATTTCAACCTTCCTAAAAGATGGGATCTTCCTTGTTCATCCTGTATCAAATAGAAAACCTCCTCGGCTCCCGTGATAACCTCCATATAATCGACGAACTCCTTTCCTGCAACTTGCTGCCGGCTTTACTCATGAACTTCAAGGGACAATTTTGTTTCATATGGTTAGATTTTGCCTGCTACTCAGCAAATGCTTGCCTCAGATAAGTTTATTTTTTTTATGTTTTCTTTCCCGGTTAGATAAAGGATAATGAATTCGGCAGTTAAATGATTGAATTAATGATGTGTTGAGGCATTAAATTATTTTGTAGTAGACCGTTAACCTAACTCTATAGAAATCATTTTTTGTGTGTCGATTAAGTAAAGTATTAAATTGACTAAGGATTTAATTTTTTTTTATTATTGTAACTTAACTTAATTGTAAAGGAAAAATAAGTTCTTCTTGTAATTATGTAATTCAACTTTGGAGTGCCTGCTAGGTGAGGATTGATTTGTAATATCTTTGTTTGAGCCTTTCTGCTATTCTCAGGGATTAACTTTGTTGGTAGGATCGTAATAGCGTAATTACTTAACATTTATCCGGTCAAACACTACTTTAATAAACCAATGAAAAAAATGAAAATTATTATGTGCAATAACTATTTTATTTTTGTTGGATGGTATTGAGTGCAATAATATTTCTTCTGTATTGATTATTCTGTGTGAAGTGGAAGGTGTAACTTGTTAAAATTTATATTTTTTTTTCTCCCCGGGGAGGGTACTGTTCATTAATTTATAGTTTATTTTTGGTATGTTTACATGATTGCAAAAGTAACTATAATAGAGATTCTAAAGACTAATGTTAAGCAGGCACTCCAAAGTTGAATTACATAATTACAAGAACTTATTTTTCCTTTACAATTAAGTTAAGTTACAATAATAAAAACAAATTAAATCCTTAGTCAATTTAATGCTTTACTTCAACTCGACACATAAAAGAATTACTTCCCTAAGAGTTAGGTTAACTATGGTAGACTAAGAAAAAAAAATTAATGCTCAAACACATCAATTAATTCAATCCTTTAACTGAAGAATTCATTATTCTTTCCTTTATCTAACCGGGAAAGAAAACATAAAAAAAAAATAACTTATCTAAGGTAAGCAGTTGCTGAGTAGCAGGCAAAATCTTACCATATGAAACAAAATTGTCCCTTGAAGTTCAGGAGTAAAGCCGGCAGCAGTAGCAAGAAAAGTGAGTTCCTCGATTATATGGAGGTTATCACAGGAGCCGAGGAGGTTTTCTAATTGAATCAGGATGAACAAGGAAGATCTCATCTTTTAGGAAGGTTGAAATACAGTCCAGGACTTGGAGACGACAGCTGTCAGCAAGGAGAAAATTGCAGCTCAGGAATCAGTCGGTGGAAAAGGCGAATCCGACTTCTAAGTTCAAAGAAGAAGCGGGTGTTGGAGGAAGCCAGAAGCAAATGAAGCATTTCTATGGTAGAGAACTAGGTAGAGACATCTTTCTAGACGACGATTTTCAGCATTAAATTTCTTGAGAAGTTAAATGTAAACGCATACACCCCAAAAAAATGATGATGCAACGAAGAATTAGGTGAAGACAAAGATACCCGTAAACCAGGGCCTGCGCTCAAGGCGCGGAGGCACGAGGCCCGTAACATTATCGGTTAAGAAAATCATTTTCTCGGCAGAATCTGCTGCCGTTGCGCACAGCACGGAAAGGAATTAAAAAAAAAAAGCAGAAGACGTATCAAAAAGTGTGCTCGTTTCCCAAAACAACCCGTTAAAAGGAAGGACGCTGGACTGCCAAGTTGGCACAACTCACTCTTCACCAAAAGTTAAAATAGTTGCAACAACAGCATTCCCTCATGTTATCAAACTCGCCAAATCCACCACTTTGAAACCTCAACGGAAATTCTATGTCGCCAAACCCTCGCCAAATACACACCACCTGTGGAAGGGGGAAATTAGGAATTTCAACAACCCTGCAAGGGGTCCCAACGAAAGAACGCTGAAACTCGTAAAAAGTGACTTTTCAACCGGAAAGAGGGCATTTCATCCCCCTTTAACTAAATCACAAGCAAACGAAGAAAAATCTACTAATTAAAGCTCATAACTGAAATGCAATTAAAGTTAGGAAAACGAAAGTTATGTCAAATTAAAGAGCTAATCTTTCTGCAACTAATGATATTAAATACTAAGAAATCAAATTAATTTTTGACATGAAAAACTGAGTTTATTACGTGAAAAAAATCACCTATCCATTGTTTGTGTGTACACGATTAACGACGCAATTCGCGTAAACTCGGAAAGCCAAAATATATTACACTACAATTAATAGGCCAAAAAAGAATATAACCAAACTTGTGTAGCTCAAATTTTGAATAATTACAAATTAAAATTTTGATTTTTATGAATCACTTAATTATTCGCTACACAACAGTATAGACCGAAAAATAACAAAAGTCAGTTTGTAAATGGTTTGAAAAGATTCTGCATGAGAAAGAAAATCTTATGTGGACATCACACGATTTACTTGCAACAACAAACAGTTATTGTTATCATTTGGTATTTTCGTATGGCTTATACCAAATTTCGTATGGCTTATTACGTGCCTTTTTTCCTGCACTTCATTTAAATTTATTTCCTCGAATTATTCTAATTTAATCAATCGATTTCTCAGCGCAAATTGAAAATGGCATCAAAATCAATGGCACGATGAGGTAGCATAGCAGGACTTTGACAAGGGATTAATCCATCTCATACTATTCATCCTCACTTAGATTATCGTGGCTTTCGGGAATACCAATATTTGCATTGGAAATCTTCGAGACACAAGTACGTTAACTGTGTTCATGATTTACATATGTATTAAAAGGATATTGAGTTCACATCCTCTGAGTTATCCTGCAAAAATTGCAACGGAATTTTCGCTTTCCTCGCTCTTTGTGTACACTCAGTGGTCAACATATCTTATGACCAGCTTGTTTGTAAGAATACGATATATGACTGAAAACTAAATATTACATTTAAGGCAAAATTTTATAGGAAATGACTTTAGTGCATAACATAACATTATTTATTTTTGTTATACTAACTGCGAAAAAAAAACGGCAGTTCGTCTATTTCTCGATCTACTGGGCTGATTGACGAAATTCAACTTGCGTTTTTCAAGTCTCAAAAGCGCGATTTAGGATAAGTATTAGATTTATATATAGCATTGTTCTAATATAGGTATTTTGACACAAAATAGGAGTTTTCTGAAATGGCATGCTAATTGTTTTTCCATATATCGATTCTACGACTCAAATTATGCCAAACTGCCAGGTTTGGTAAAAATCGAACGAGTAGTTTTGAAAAAATTAGCTCTGAAAATTTTAGCTTCTCAATGTTAATTGAATTTGATATATATTTATTAAACTTATTTGATTTCTTCTTCCAGAATTCGAAATTTAAGCTTAATCCAAATATAACTACCCATATTGTTATTTATTTTTAAAATTTGTATTTTTATATAAATTTTTATAAATGTTTTGAGAAAAAAATTTGATTTATTACCTATAAAAATTTTACCATAATCTTAAAGTAGATGTATTTCTAAACATATCTGCGAAAAATAGAGATCTTTATTCAAAATTTCCTAAGATATATGTACATGAATTTATATATTTGCGCGTTTTGAAATTTGCCAAATTTGTTATAAGCGATAATAACGCCAAATGTGGTTTGCGCACTTTATTAAAATTATTTGAACGATGACTTTTTTTCTGCTCGTGTACTATGGAAAAAGAAAAAGGAAAATAAGTTGCTATAAATTATGAAGTTCGCGAAGTGAATTATTCTTTGCGCAAACTGAAAAAAATGCGCAAGGACAAAATTTTGAATTTCTCACCAGAAGTTACAAAATTTAATGTCTAGGTATAATTTGAGTCGTAGAATAGAAATATGGAAAAAAATTGGAAAATCATTTCATAGAAAGACCGATTTTGTGTCAAAATACTTATGTTAGAACAACATACTATATATAAATCTAATATATATAGTAAGTCGAGCCTTCAAGACATGAAACACGCAATGTGAATTTAGCCAAACGGTCCAGTAGAACGAGAAATATAGAACTGTTCCATTTTTTTTTCTTCCAAAGGGACTGTGTCCCTGAGGGACTATTGTTTTCGTTTTGCGATTCTGCGTCGAATCACTCTGAAAGTCCGTTTCACTTTTTGAACTGTTGCCACCAAATATTATCGACCCTGTATTATATTTGAAGAAATTAAATAATGAAGAACCTGCATAAATGTATGTATGTTTCTCGCATTGTGATAAAACAACAATACCTAGAGCCATCAAATTTTGAATGACGTAATGGTACTGCGAATATGGGCATCTGGAAGCCCAAATTTGAAATGCGTTTTATTACCGATTTCATATTTTGTAAAATTTTTAACGAATGTTTGATTAACAAACTCAAGGATTTCAAAGCGAGCAATGGCAACGTTGTACAGAAAAAACATTTTTATCTACAGCGCGTGAGACTGTGCATCGGAAATTCTAAAGATATGTTCAATTTAAAATTATTTTGCGATATTGCTCTTGAACTGAATTTTATGGTTTAAGTTCGAACAATATGATATTTAATAAATAAAGGTAACACACAAAATGTTAATAAAACGCCCCTTTGGACGTAATTTAAAATCTGAAACCTTTCAGATTTTTGTTTTCGCAGTGTACATACATTTCAGTACTTCTGAAGTAATGTTTGAAGTGCAAGAGATAAGTTATATTATATTTTCTTTCTAGGAACCACCCTACTTGATGCTGAAGAGTTCTCTTAAACAACTTCAGGGTAATGAAAGATATGAAGGATTCTGCGTAGACTTTATTGATGAATTGGCTAAATTATTAAACTTCAAATACGAAATAAGACTTGTAAGGGATAAAGTATATGGGTCAAAGTATCCCAATGGTTCATATACAGGAATGATTGGAGAAGTCCAGAGAGGAGTAACTATAACTTTTTACTAAGATTTTGTACTAGTAACTTGCGACAAAATTAGTTCTAAATAGAACTACCTTCAAAATTCCTTACATTTATTTTTTGATTTTCAGAAGCTCGAAAAATCTGAGAGAACCCAATTATACGTTATCCTTTTAACTTTTGAAACATATGAACAAAACAGCTGCGCGCAAAATAAAATTTGTGAAGATATTTATAATATTTTCACCTTGATTTAGATTGAAACATAGCATCAATTTATTTATATCCTGATTAACGTTAATGCCATTTTAACTTTACTGTTTAGTTATTTTAACTGTGTAGATATTATTGTTTTTATATATAGACAGAAACTTTAAAAACTTTAACATGCATTTTTTCTGTCTCTAACGGATAAGTTAAAATGTATATTAGATTTATATACAGCATTATTCTGTACTTTCATTTTTCCTTACTTCGATTCTACGCTTTAAATTATGCGTAAATACAAAATTTTGAAAAACTCATATATGCCATTTCGGAGTTCATGATTAAAACTTCTTACGTAGTTTTAAACTTTTTCCAAAAATATACTTCGCATTGCCGACTTTGAATTCACTTGAAACCAGATTTTTTTAAAGTCTTTGAGGAGTGAGCACATGCTGAAATCTTTTGGAACTGTAAACTCTGTTATTAATTTTGGATTTTAATTATACTTTTTAAAATGTTCAAAAACTACTCAGTGGTTTCAGGTGCATATTTTAAAAATAGCTAAGATGTTAAAAATATTTACAGGATTTTCTAACAAACAGGAAGTTTTAAAATTTAATTTATTTTTGAATAAAATTTGATAACTAGGATCGCATGCTACATTAATGATTAAGAATTTGAATTTAAGAGGGTCATATAGAAAATAAAGACCACTTAGTTATATATAAAATGAAAGACGCAATATTTAGTTGGAGAAAACAATTCTGTCATGTAATTGATGCTCCTTTTATATCCCTACATAATCACCACCTCCATTTAAACACTTGTTTACCTGTTAACGAGCATCAGAATTCCCGTGATCATTACATTCTCTAACTCTTCATCACTTCCAAAACGTTTACCGCCCAGAAACCTTTACAGCTTAAAGAAAAGGTGGAAATCTTGAAAAGGAAGGTCCGGACTATAGGGTGGATTATAAAAAAAATCGCACCCGAATTGATTCAGTAATTCTTGAGTTTGAGCAGCAGTGGGGGGGGCATTGTCTTGAAGAAGCACAATTCCTCAGAAAGCATTCGTTAGCTCTTGTTTTAGACACCTTTTACGATCTCAAAGACAGTTGCCATGACGTTTCGCGCTGAGAAAGTCTGTTTGAAATTTTCTCGTTTTTTTCTGTTCTGGTGAAGAGGGATGATACCAGTCAACTGATTGGCGCTTGCTCTCTGGAGTAATGTGACATACCCAGGTCTCATCACCAGTCGCGATCCGATGAAGAAAGGCATCCTCATATGTGTGACATCGTTTCAAGAATGCCAATGCTGAGCTGTGAATACAGTGATTACCTGGCTTAATGAGTCTTCGCCAGAAAAAGTATAACATGGGAATTCTGATGCTCCTGAACAATCAAATGCAATCCGAATAACCTTGTATTTGTATTACTTGTTTTTCTCTTGATAATTTTTTTCTATTCATAATACACGTCCATGACCATCTTTCTTATGCGTTAAACAGGCATTATGATGAATCATATATTTCTGAAACATTATATAAAGGTTTTTAAGAAAATTTATAATTGTTCTCTTAACTTTTCATAGTAAAACGAACATATTTGCTTAACTTTTACTAGAATTCGTATTTAAACAATCGGTTATTTTTCAGATATCATTGTTTTTCTTATTTCTTCTACCCGCAATGTAGTCTAGCCTAGAGTTAATATTTTGGCTTGGAACACAGTAACTCTTGTCTCTCAAGCAAATTCTTTCTATGTGAATTAAAACTCGGTGTTCTAGTTGAACAAAAAATGCACTAATTAATTTTTTCCACTTAAAGGCATAAATAGTAACCTCTGTATTGTGTTGGTACTCTAATCAGAATTATATATTAATGCAGGATGTTGTTCGAATAGTGAAACCCTTTTTTTCAAAAACCTTTTGTTATAATGTTACCGTTTGTTTCCATTTCTTCGCCACAGTAATAAATGTGTAAATTAATTGCAACAAATTAACTACAGATAGGACGGTGTCAAGTCAATAATGATTTGTTAGGTGCTGTGAAGAAGGCATTAAACATGCTTCGCTACACAGTTCTTCGAATTAGGAGAATGTATTAGATATTATCATTGTACCATTTTTTGTGTACCAAATTGGACGACCATATAAGCTTACTTATTTAGCTTTAACTATAAGTTCATCAGTTGATCTCTCGCCCCTTATTACGAGTAATATCGCTATACTATTCATTAAATTAAATTATATATTTTATTTAACATCCTTAAATGAAGAATCGAAAAATGTGTTGCTTTGCCTAAAATGAACCCTAAACGTTCTAATATGTTATATTTCTGAAGTTTTCAGTTATTCTAAGAGTATTATATTTAAGTTGAACTTTGCACCAGATTGTTGCTTCTCTTGGGGAAAAAAAGTCGTTTGTTTTGTTTTTCATTGTTGGATTTCTGTTTGCATTTGTTGAAGCACATACTTGGTTTCCCTTATGTCGATTGAGTTTTATGTTCCATTTCGCATCTAATACATCGAGAGATAATAAGTAACATATCATCTGCATATAAGTTTATTATAACATCACATCCGTTATCAAAGCTGAACACAGTATCTGCAATTTTAGTCCAAATAATAGGTTCTAATGAGTTCTTGACTAAATCTACGCCAAACACAAGGTTTTTGCTTTGCTAGTTTTAGGTTCTAGTTACTTCATCCCGAGGGCATCTTTTTGTAATACTCTTTAGTAATTTTGATCCTATTTTATTCTATCTGTCTTTTTAAGGTATATAAAAAAATCAGAACAACCGATTGCCACACATTTTTCAATGCAGAAATTATTATATTATATTGACATCACAGAATACATTTATTTTTATAGGCTAAGTTATTCACTGTATCTAATTCCTCATGCCAGCGTAAAACCATATTTTGATGTCTGTAGAAGATCATTACGGTGCAGAAACAGTATTAGTTTATGTGAAAGGAGTTTATCTACTACTATGTGTCATACTGAGAGAAAACAAACAGGGCTATATGCCACTATCTATAATCAATGTTGAACTCTCTTCATGAAGCATAATGAGGCTTTCAAGCACGATTTTACATACTTATTATGCTTGAAAACTATTTATAATTTGGTGAATTCTTTTCATCTATAATGGGAAAAGTAAACTTATCGACACCCGGTGCATTTTATTTTCCGAAAGTAGCCAGAATGTGATTTAGTGTTTTCCGGGTTCGAACAACTGTCGTTTTCCTTTGAAGGGTCTCTGCTAGTACTTAGGCATATGATGTTAGGGTATAGGCTCTTATGTCGCGCTTTATATGATCCTTCGGAAAGTGATGGTAGATTTGAGAGTAACTTCCTTTGTATCAGAATAGGATATGTATTTTTTCACTTTTGTTTATTTGAAAATGTCGGTTGTTGTTGTCTTGTACATATTACATGGAACAATGGCTGCCAGAGCCTACTTCAAAAAGAGAGAATGCCGGTTGTATTTGATTTTTGTTACTTGGTGTGTATGGCAAAATGGGGACTATGTGTTATATCTTTTCTTTATTGATATAATTTTTTAGCTTCGCTTTAAAATATCCTTTTCATACTTTGAATTCTATGCTTATATAGCAAAACGTTCATATTGTGTCTCAAATTAATTTGAAACACATCTTTGATATTTTCTTCAAATCGTTTTAAATTTCTTACTCAAAAGTGAAGACTGCAAGACCCATCTTGAATAAGAATTCCATCAATTTTTGGATTTGCCTGCCATTTTAAAGAATTAAAACAAGCTTCTTTTAGCATACCTGTTGATTTTTTGAGTTACATTATGTATGGTCTGAGGAGGATTTATTTCATGATGGGACTGAACCGTTGGGATTATTTCTACAAATTTTGATTAATCAATAATTGTCACTTTTATTTTAGATTTGGTCTCAAAATACCAATCGTACTGATATTAGATGTAATAAAGTTACGAAGCTTAAAGTTTTTATAGCATCCAATTTTTCGATCTTTAAATTGGTTCTTCATTTAAAGACATCGATTCAAGATTTCCTTCTTGAATCGATGCTAAGATCCCTCCAAGACTTCACAAGAGAAGGCAGGCAAGATTAGAGTGTATGTAAAGTTAGCTTTAAAACTATGTATTACGTATTATTATCACTTCTAATGTATAAAAAATTATTATTTATTGTTTCGTAACAGTTATTGTGATTAAAATTACGTTATTTAAATAACATAGAAATTTCGTATATTATTTGAAAAGGTAATCATTATAAAGAATAATTTATAAAGTACCTAATAAATACTATTTCAGGAAGTTGATATGGCTGTAGCTGGTTTAAGTATTAACTCGAAACGTGAGGAAGCAGTTGACTTCACATTGCCTTTCATGAATACAGGCATCAGCATTCTCTACAAGAAACCTACAACCAAAGTCTCTTCGCTTTTTTCCTTCCTTTCACCATTTTCTGCTGAAGTATGGATTTATCTGATAGGGGCATATTTTGCTGTGGGCACTGTCACATATTTTATTGGAAGACTTACACCGTACGAGTGGATTAATCCTTACCCTTGTAGACAAGATGACATTGTAGTAGAGAATGTGTTCAATGTGAGAAACAGTCTTTGGGTAATACTTGGAACTGTCATGCAGCAGGGATCCGAAATTGTTACCACGTAAGTTATTTCTATAAACATTTAGTTAACCTGATTAAATTTCTTTTTTATAATTTTCATCATCATTAAATATTTTAATTATTCGATGAAAATAACCTTTGTCATAACTACTCACATAGTGTGAACTTGTAAGTATGTGAACAAATATAACGATTGTACAATTATTTTTCCATTACTGTCAATGTGATAATAGAATAGATTTATTAAAAACAAAATACACTCATGTTCATAAATTAAGGATAATTCGTAATCACGCGAAAATCGAAATCTAAAATAAATATATCACCTGTAAAATCACTGCACACATCTTCAAGAATCATATGCAAATTTCAGGAAGTAACCAGATGACACCCATGGTACGTCACAATGACGAGAGTGCAAGAGAGTGATATATAAGGAATACAGGCAAAGAAGTAAAATTGTTCGCAGGCGCTTTATAAGCATTTCGGAGCAATAACCGAATAGTTATAACACAAAGGACGCATTTGGATGAATTTTTACGTGATAGAATTATCGGCCGTCTGGAATGTGGGCATACCCAACTGGAAGTATCAGACGAACTTGGAACTGCCCAGAGTGTCATCTCCAGGCTTTGGCAACGATTCCAAGATGATAGTAATGTGAGTAGACGTTACCGCACAGGTCTCCCCAGAGTTACAACGCCGAATGAGGACCGGTATTTGGCAGTTACTGCCAAAAGAAACAGGCGGAGCACAGCCTCAGACCTGTCTCGTCAGCTCTCTTCAGCCACTGGTATGACAATTTCAAGGCAGACCGTGTACGGACGCTTAGGGCAGATTGGTCTATATGCTCGCAGACCTGTCAGATGCGTTCCACTTACTGCAACTCACTGTCGCCTGCGGTTAGCCTGAAGTAGAGAGCATGCATTGTGGACACCGCAACAGTGGGCTTGTGTGATGTTTTCCGACGAGTCCAGATTTAGCTTGCAGTCTGATTCTCGCCAGATTTTCATATGGAAAGCTCCAGGTACCCGTTACAACCAAGAAAACATCATTGAACGACACCGTTACGGTGGTGCAGGAGTGCTCGTTTGAGGTGGAAATATTCTGGGTTCCAGAACTGACCTGCATGTTCAAATTGGAACCATGACAAGCCAGATCTATCGGGACGTCATTCTGGAACAACATGTACGTTTGTTTCGGGGCGCCATGGGCGCACAATTTGTGTTTATGGATGACAACGCCCGTCCTCACAGTGTAAACATCGTAAGCAAATGCCTTCGATCGGAGTATATCACCCGTATGGACTGGCCAGCATTCTCACCGGACTTGAATCCAGTAGAGCACGTGTGGGACATGCTTGGCCGATGAGTTGCAGCCCGTCAACCTCCTCCTACGTGTCTACTAGAACTTTGGAGAGCATTGCTTCTTGAGTGGCTTTTTTTAATATCCCCCAAGATCAGATCGATAATTTGATACTCAGGATGCCTAGGCGTTGTACGGACTGTAACGCATCGTCTGGGAGACATACAATGTATTAACAATCATACCAACCATGTAATATTGGTTTTTTGAAAATAGGTTTTTTTTATTTGCTCCATGGAGAAAAAAATCGCTAATTTTTTTAATAATATCAAACATATAGCATCTTTTTTGCTCTTTACCTTTTGTTTAATAAATAAGCTTTACAAATAAGTCAAATTTGTTTTGTTTCTAACTCTTCCTTTGCCTGATTTTGCATTATCCTTAATTTATGGACATGAGTGTAGTTACTAATACAGGTAAAAGATGGCTGGGACGGCAAACATTAACTTATTTTAATATTAGATTGCCGAAACATTCGATACCGTACAACTGGACATATGTATGCACGATCTAAGAAGGTACGATTCATTTCTTTGATTTCTAAGTTCTTTGACATTCTAATTTTATCTCTGCAGTTGTCAATATACCTTTTTATCCAGGCTGTAATTATTTTCTCAAATGAAGAAAGTCGTGAGAAATGCAAAAATTCTTCATCTACTTTTGAAAAGAAGGATACAACTATTTTTCTTCTTTCTCGATCAATGATGTCTTTATCAGGAGAAAAATAAGTAGGCCAACAGTCTGGATTCAACTTCAACCATGCTGGACCTTCATGCCATCTTTTGGCTTTGATAGTTTCAACAGAACATCCTCTTGACAGAATATTCGCAGGATTCAAGTTTCCAGGAATATAATTTCATGTATCAGTATTAATAAGAGCTCGTATTTTCTTTACTCTATTCATAAAAAATGCACCCCAATTTTCTTTAAGATCGTGCTTGAACTAAATGACAAGAAACTTCAGTTTCATTTCTTGTAAAAACGCAGGTGGCATATGCCATTCGAGATGCATCACAAAATATATGAAAGTATAATATCAATCCAGAATCAGTATTAAGTATCATCTATCGGGGAGTTGTATTTCTGTTAAACGATTTGCATCATTTTTTCATTTCATGTATTTCTTATTTATTTCTTCAGGAAACGCTTCATCCCAAGTTACTTTTAATTCCCAGCAGTTTTGTAACAGAATTTTAGGAATGAAAATTATAGGGCAAGTGAATCCAATAGAATCATAAATTTTATGAATTTTAGACAAAATTGTTCTTTTAGTAACAGGTTTATTTTTAGATTCATTCAATCCCTTAATATCACAACTTAATGTGTCATCATTCAAAGAAGTCCAAAATGTGGACCGTTTTAGCTTCGCAAGGGTCATCTAAGACCTTATTTAATTTATTAAGCTTCTAAAATGGGTTCGACAACAAAGGCATCCCTTTCAATTCGCAGATAGTTATATGCCCTCTTGTAATTCTAATTTAGCACTTGCCAACATTTCACTAGCATCATTTGTTAATTTCTTTAATTTTGATTCATAATTCACACTTGTAACTATATTATCAACGTACCAGGATTCTGTTAATTTATTAGCCCTCGCACGATAATTTTCTGGTAATTCATTCATTAATTCCGTTAGTGTTGCATTTAAGAGAAACGGACTGCTGGTTATTCCAAATACCACTCTTCTATGCCCGTATATTTTTAAACGCTGAGAATTTACCTGTTCACCCCATAAAAATCTTATAGAATCTCTGTCTTTAGGACCAAGTCCTATCTGCAGAAAAGCCTTCTTAATATCAGCACTTACGCCAATTTTTCCCAGTCGAAATCTATTTATTATAACTGGAACAATGTCAATCAAATTTGGACCCTTTTCCAAACAGTCATTTATGGAAAGGTGATCCTTTAATTCTTACAGATCCATCGAAACCCGGCCTTATTTTTGTCGTTGTGGAATTCATTCAAATAACAATACGGTGGGGTAAATAATGGGAGAAGTTATTAACTTCTTCCTCAGGAACAATCTCTATTATTTTTCTCATCTTCCCAAGATTTAAAAATTGCTTCATAATCTTCTAAAAATCCCCCATCCTTTAAATTCTTCACTGTGCTCTTTAATCTTTTTTCTGTTATTTCCCGATAGTTTGTAAGTGGGAAATGATTTTCAATCCAAGGTAAACAAACTTGAAACCTTCCCTCTGCATCTCTTTTCACATTAGAAAGAAAATGTGTCATTGTTTGTTTTCCTAATTGCCTTTTAGTTTGACTTTCTGATAGATCTAATATCCCAAGAGTATCAAGTTTCCATAAATTAGAAATTTTACTATCTGATACTAGCATAGAAAATGTATAAGAACAATCATATTTATTTTCCATTTCTACGGGAATTTTCCCCATGATACTCCAGCTTAAATAAGTTTCAATCCAAACTAATCCATATTCTAACTTCTTTATTTTCCCTGTAAGCAATTTTCCCGCTATGTCCGCGCCTATGAGGATATGAATTTCAGAAGGGGAATGTTCGAACAATTTTGTATGCATACCTTCAAAATCATTCAAAAATATATTATGGGTTTTTAACTCATTTAAATAAGGCTTGATGTTCAATTGTGGAATATTAGAACAAATTTTTGCTTGATCTAAAGCTTTATAGTTACACTGATAATCGTTGTTAACATTACTTAAGCGGACAATCAACTGTTTATGAGTTTCATCCACTTCGGTTCCTCCGAACAGACTATGAATGTCAATGCTTTCGTTAATACATTCGTACTGCACAGCATTAGAAAAATTTAGATACATAGCTTCGTTGACTCCAAGAATCAATAGAAAACAGACAGTATTTTTCTAGACCATTTCCACGTACTTTTACTACTAAAGTTTGTAATAAAACTTTCTCTAAACATGTTTTGTTCGTTAAATTGAGATCCTTCTTATTTGATATTTTCTCATCTAAACTATTTCTGTCACAGATTAAACTGTTGGGGTTCCAACCACATGAATCACACTTTATCTTCAAAAGCAATTTCGCCAAATGATTACCCCTTTTAAGGCATAAATAACAGATTCCGAGTTTTCGAAGTTTTTCCGTCTGCTACAGACTTCGGGCAAGCATCCGAAATATGTTTTTTTGAATCCTCGCAAAATATGCAGCTGTTAATTGAAACCTTTAACACAGCAGCTATTGGAACAGAACTTTTATTTATTCTTTTTTCTTTAGGAAAGTGGCTCGAATTCTCATTGTTTATTTTATCTTTAATTTGTAGCACAGGTTCGCGGCATTCAATTTCGTTTTTAAGAACTCTAATAATTTGTTTACTTCGAAATTATATTCAGAATTTTTTTTTCTTTGAAAATCGATATTCAACTCATTCGGAATTAATAAAACTGGTGTCAGTAACTAGTCATCTGTGCCGGAAGTTACATTAAGTGATTTTAAGCTTCTCATTTGTATTTCGATATCATCATGAAACTTAAGTAATGCAAATATGTTATTAGCATTCCTAACAGGTTCTAAATTTAACAGTTTTCCCATATGTGCATTTATAATCAAATCTGTTCGACCAAAACTTGTTTTAAGTAACTCCATTGCGGCAAAATAATTTTCATACCGATAATGCAAAACTACTAACAGCAGCATCTGATAAAAATGAATTCAAATAATTAAATTTGTCTATATATCTGTTAAATCACCATTTTGATGTATCGCATTGTCAAACTGGCTCTAAAATAATAACCAATTAATAGGATTGCTATTAAATTTATTTATCGATAATTTGGGCAATTTAATTTTTGAATGAGAAACAGAAATATCTGACATAACATTCACAATATTACCAATTGCATTTGAAACAGGAATTTCAGGTTTCCCTTTCTCTTTTAACATAAATGTTATTTTTGATTTCATGAAAATTATTTTCTCGGAATAAACTTCACTAGTTTCAAATTCCGATTCATATTCAGTAGCTTCAATTACTTCTTGTATTTGTTTATCTAATTTTTTAGGCTGTTATATTTTTAATTTAATAAATCAATATTCTCATTAAGAATACACAAATCGTGTTCTGTCTCTTGGAGGTATTCTTTACAATTATTTATCAACTTTGGTGTCATACTCCTAACTGCAGTTCGCCTTTTCTTTAATTTTTTTACTGTAGTAGACATGTTTAAATAGGAAGTATTTCAATAGAAAATGAAGAATAATGTCGAAAACTTTATGTTCATAGAAAAAATGTTTCAAATTACAAATTAGTATTCTCAAATAATAAACAAACTTCTCAAATCAAAAGGAGATATTTTTCAAACATTCCTAAAATCTTCCACTTTAGTATATTCTACTTCGTCGGTCCCAGCCAAAATTTTATTTCAGGAAAACAGATCATTCAAAATTCTGGATAAGCAAATGAAGAGAAGTTACTTACCTTTATGATCCTCGTTCTTCGATTCTGGTTCCGCCGCTTAGGGAGACTATATTTCGAAATCATCTAAAATTGACACTATTTTTCACGAAACACATTTTTTTTTGATATTTCACACAAAACAGTAACAATATATTAATCATTACAACAACAAAATCACTTCTAACCTACTTAGCATCATTGTTCTATTATACGTACACTTATAGTTGCCAATTCTTAAAAAAAAATAAATAAATAATAAATAAAAAAAAATAAATAATAAATAAATAAATAAATAATAAAAAATAAAAAAAAAAATAAAAATAAAAAAAAAAAAAAAAAAAAAAAAAAAAACACTTTATTTTTTTTCTGTTTTCGTCGGTCTGAGGGCCGGATCCGTTCACCCAAGAGCGCAGCGCGCAACATGCGTCGTTCCGCGACAAATTTGACAAATCACGCTTAGAATTGTTTTTCATCAAACGAAATGCTTAAAAAATTGGACTGTATCTTTAAATTGAAATCTGACTTTAACAAAATGTTACTGCTGGACAAACTTCGACAGTTGAAAATGAAATGCATTGAAACAATGGTGCAATATATTGCAAAAATTGAAAATCTTGCTCATGAAATCAAATGCTCCGGTGAAGGCAATAGCAATGCAACAACAGCTGCGAAAAGTTTAGGAAATATGAAAATTTCAGACTAGATTGGTTACCTGTTGATGATAGTAAGCAAAACTTGTCAAATCTAACCGCAAGGCATATTGATTTAGAAACGTCTTTCTTTACCACAATCTGATAAAAGTGAGTCTTCATTTTTTCCGTCTAATCGCAGTAGATTTAAGAAACAAAAAGCAATATACGACAGTTTCAGGACTAATAACAAATTTTAAAATAATAACGGAAAAGTGAATTAAAAAATAATGTGTTATATCTGTCATAGAAAGGACATTACGGCGAGAATGCCTTTTCAAGCTTTGTGAAAAAGAGACTTTCTCTATTTCACTGCTAAATGCAGTGAAATAGAGAAAAGTGTGAAAAGAAATGATGAACAGTAGTGCATCTGTTCAAATGGCCTACATTCTCAGCTTCTCAGCTACTTTAACAGCTTCAATGAGACAAGTGAAAATGAAACTATGCGTCTTGGCAATAATGTAGAATTACCCATTAAAGGAAAAAGGCAATGTAGAAATCCAGACGTTTATTCATGGCAAATGGCAAGAAGGAGAAATACATAATGTTCGCTATGTTCAGAAATACATAATGTTCGCTATGTTCCAGATTTAGAAAAATCTTCTCTCTGAAGGGGTTAATATAGGTAAAGGAAAGAAGGTATTAAAAATGCAAGATCATTTAACTGTGAAAGATACAAATTGATACATACAATTGTGAAAATGAGTTACTTGGTTCAGCAGGACGTTTTTCAAACAACTTGTATTAAATAATTTGTAAACTATAATTTCTCCTGAAGGAAACATTCCTCTTAGTATAATCACACAAGGAAGAATATTACATGGAAGAACAGGACACATAAATTTGGAAACACTTTATAAACTAAATGATAAATGTCTCAAAGGTGAACTTCTTTGCCAAGGTTGCCAGTACGGTAAGCAACATAGATTTCTGCTTAGTTCCAAGGAACATAAGGCTACTAAACCAGCAGAATTAATATATAACGACATTTTTGGTCCTAAGGCTACTAAACCAGCAGAAGTAATATACAGCGACATTTTTGGTTCTATGACCACACAGTCAGTAGGTAGAGAAAATAATTTCATATTGATGAAAGATGATTAGAGAGGTTTTAGTACAATTTCTTTTCTTAAACACAAATGTGTCTCTTGCCCAATCAAAATAATTGTAAACCAAAAGTAACTCAAACTGAAACGTTTCGACTCCCTCCCTTCTTCCTCTGCATTACTACTGCGACATAATCTCTCTTTTTGCTTGTGCTTTCCTCGTGGCCAGACTCTTTGCTGCAATCATCTACGCTCGCTTCTACCGCCGTGGTATTAAAATTGTAAATATTCTGGAAAGAAGCTCGATTGGAGTTCCAAGTGAATTGTGGACACCAATGTGAATTTAAATAAATATGGAATTTAATCCGGCTCGACTACTGCTACTTCAAAATGGATGGAGACTCTAAGCATCAAGTTTCTACGCTAAACAATATTGCTTCGCATCTACAAATCAGTGTTCTTACATCATATATATATAATTTATTTTCTAATATATATACATATGCACACAGAGAGAGAATATATGTAAAACAAATTTCTAACTTTAATTATCAATAATCCCTCTTACTTTTCATCTTAATTTCAATATTTCTTCTTTCCATCCTTTACATAACGATGATGGCGTTGCTAATTCGGATCTCAAACTCAAAATTTTCAAACAGAAACCTTTCTTCTGCTAAACTAAACTTCTATATTGGATAACTACATAATTTTCCATTTGTCTGTAGGAAAGAAATACGTTGCCACATCCTTCTGTCTGTTATCCATTGTGTTTAAATGTGCTAAGTTTACAAAATTGTGGTTGTATATATATTTAACATTTATGTAATTTTTCGGAATTTAAAGTTTCATATATTTATTAAAACTATATAGAACTATTTTATTATCGCCTAATGAATTCCTCGTTGTAGCATGATAACACGCACGTCTATTTGTGCCCAAATGGTAAGAACTTAGGCTCATCATTATGAGGAATATAAATTTATAATTAGGGAAAAAAATTAAACTCATACATTAGCCATTTCATGTTACTTTTTTAAAGTTTCTATTAGTCCTCTTTTTATTATTCCTATTAGTCTTACTCTTTTCCTTATTAGTAGCAGTACATTTAGTTTTATTATTATTTTATTTAAAATTGTATTTATTTGGGAATACATTTTCGGAACTTTTCGATTAACGCATAGTTCTTAACTTCTTTCCATTAACTAAAAGACTCTTGTTTTCTCAGGGCTTGTTCCACCAGAACTTTATATAGCTTTTGGAGTTTTTTCACCCTGATTTTGGTGTCTTCCTACACAGCAAATTTGGCTGCTTTCCTCACTGTAGAAAGGGTGGTTTATCCCTTCCACAATGCTCAAGAACTTGCGAAACAGAAAAAAATTAAGTACGGATGCCTCAAGAATGGAACAACTGAGCAATTTTTTAAAGTAAGTAAATGTTTTTAAACATTACATACACTGGTGTGCAAAAATTAAGGACGAAGTCGAAAAAATTAGCATATCAGCTGAACGAAGAGGCAGAGCGGACAGAAAGACCAATCAGGAGATTAAGTAAGGTGATGTACGGTAGCACATGCGCAGATATGCAGGTAGATGTAATGGGGGAGTGTCTGAGTAGTATAAAGCATGTTGTCGGTGTAAGATCAGTATTTCTGGCAAAGAGATTGCACGCCGTATAGCAGTTAAAATCACACCGAGTTGCTGCCTCAGCGAGAAATGGCGAATAATCAATCTGTTAGACGACATCTGGATGCTTTTACCCGAGGTCGAATCATTGGGAAGTTGGAGGAAGGCCGCAGTGTGACAAGTGTGGCTGCAGAGTTCGGAATTGCTCACAGCATCGTTTCACGATTTTGGAGACAATTTCAAACTACAGGAACAGCTATCCGGGGGTTTAGTAGTGGTCGTCCACGAGGAACCACACCCGCAGATGACCGGTATATTGCCTTACAGGCCAGAAGAAACAGGCGGCAGACAGCGGGAGAAATCGCTAGACACACGACGCAGGTGACTGGACGACCGATATCGCGTTTTACCGTGACCAGAAGACTGCACGGTAGTGGTCTGTTTGCACGACGCCATGTACGGTGTGTACCTCTAACGCCTGCCCATCGGAGAAGGCGTTCTCTGTGGTGCCGGGAACACCGGAATTGGAGAGACAATGAATGGGGACGAGTACTCTTTTACAGATGAGAGCAGATTCAATCTGAGTAGCGATTCTCAACGCATATTCATCTGGAGAGCGCGGGGAAGCCGCAATCATCCCTCGAACATCATTGAAAGGGACAGGTATGGAGGTGGCGGTGTTTTCGTTTGGGGAGGCATCATGCTTGGTAGTCGTACAGACCTTCACATCTTCGACGCAGGTTCAGTCAACGGGACCCGTTATTGTAACGAGATTCTTCTTCCATATGTGCGTCTTTTTAGAGGCGCTATGGGTCCGCAGTTCCTTTTCATGGACGACAATGCACCATGTCATCGCACAGTAGCTGCCGAACAGCTCTTAGAGAGTGAGGATATTGAACGTATGGATTGGCCGGCACGATCTCCGGATCTCAATCCCATCGAGCATGTATGGGATTTTCTAAGCAGACGCTTGGCAGCTCGTACCTTACCACCAGTAACGATTCCGGAGCTTCGATTGGCGCTGCAAGACGAATGGGCAGCAATGCCTCAACAACTCATTGACACCCTCATTCTCAGCATGGGCAGACGCTGTGAAACCTGCCTAGCAGTCAGGGGAGATCATATCCCCTATTATAGACCGGATGTTTCTTGCTGGACACCCATCACAGGGATGTTTCGGCCTTCAGTCGCATTGCGCTCCATGCTACTTTTTCAATAAAGCTTCTTTTTATCCCTCTGATTTCTCTTTTAAGTATTGCTTACATTACTCATGTCCTTACGTATTGGGGATCTTACGGTATTAAATGTGTTGATTTGGAAAACTTTTGTACAAAGTTACATTTTGTACAAAGTTATATTGAAAAAACCGTCTCGTCCTTAATTTTTGCACACCAGTGTACTTTATGTATACATTTTTCTTAGTAAAATGGCTCACAAAACGTTTTTTGTCTTTTTATTATTAAATGTGTGAATGTTAAATTTATTAATTAAATATCATTCTTCGCACTTAAGTCACATAAAATTCAGCTGAATAGCAAAATCACAAAATGTTTAAAAACAACATATCTTTAGAGTTTCCGGTATATAGTCTCGCTCGTTGGAGATAACAAAGTTTAATCAGTACAGTGTTGGCACTACTTGCTCTCAAATCGTTGAGTTTCTTAAAAAATCAATAAAGATTTAAAAAATATGATATATAAAATTCAAAATTCGGGCTTCCAGCTGCGCATGTTCGGATAGAGGACTACGTTATTCAAAATCTGTGGCCCTAGGCACCGTCGTTTCTTTACAGCAGTGGTTCCCAAACATTTTTGACTTCTCGACCTTTTTTTAATTCAAAACGTGCCCACGGTTCCCCAAGTGAAAAAGCTATACAAATGCATAGTATAAATATTACAGATTAAAAAATATTTTGTTAAAGAAATATTTATTGAAATTATAACTTTTGTTTAAAATAAAAATTTAAAAAAATTATTGACATGAGATGTTATGAGTGTATTTATGTCCGGCTTAATGCTTGTGAGTAGCAACCGCAAATCCCCATCAGCACTAATTTCTAGGTGGTTTCTTTTTTCGTAATGAGGTTCATAATAGCGTTGAATCCACGTTCTACCAAATAGCAAGACGAGAAAACAGTCAACAACTTCTGTACAATAACCCGTAATGCAGAATATGAAACTGTGATCTGTTTCTGTAATCATAATTTGTGGTATTCTTGTGCAAACATTGGTTTAAGTTCCTCATTTGTGGATATTTCAATCAGCTGTTCCTGTATTAGTATAGATTGTATTAGTATAGATACCCAATGTTTCACCTAAGCACCCTCGCATGATAAATCAAGCCAAATTAAATGATCTCGTGAGTGACCTAGATTTGCCAAAAAATAAGGCGGAACTATTACGGGCAAGATTAAAGCAGTGGAGTCTTTTAAAAAACGGTGTTCTGATAACTCACTTTCGTATTCGTCAGAAAAAAATTGACGCCCTTCTTCGGCATTTTCGAAGACTTAAATTTTTGCAAGGACGTGAATGATTTATTCGAAGCTTTCAATAGGAATCATAAACCAAAGAATGGAGATTGTTCATAGATGGTTCAGTATTAACCTTTTAACTATTCTGCTACTTAATGGAAACAATTTGCTTTGATTCCTCCTGGCTACACTGTTTATATGAAGGAATCGTATGAAACTTTAAAGAATTTCATAAAGTGCATCAAGTACGAAAACTATAAATGCACATTTCTGAGCAATACAACCATTCTGAGCAACCATTTCTGAGGAATGCCTAATTATTTTCCAGGCACCATCTGTGCATATCCATGGATATTTCTTCCCACCCAATATGGCATCTCAGAAAACAGTCACTAAACGTACACAAAATCCCAGTACTTAATTGTTCTACCACGTAAGTTGAACAGACAGTCCTTTTTTATTGTTCTTCATACGCAACTCTTACAAAGAAGGTACTTTGCTAATTGTCTGTGTTGATTCTCCAAGTTGAACAAAATTCGTTAAATCCCCCCCTATAATATATATATTTCTAATAAACTCATACAGTCTACGCCTCATATTACAAATGTGCAACACGGGGCTTACAAAATTAAGTTAATGAAACACTGAATACAATAATAAAACAACCAAGAGCAGAATCAGTTTTTGGAATCGTTCAGCAAACATAATATAGGGTTATCAAAGGAAAACTAAGTTACTTGATCTAGGCTTAGAACGAAACAGTTAACTTGTCTATTTACTGTTATCAGATGTAAATCATTAGCATTCCAAAGCATGGGCACAAAGCAGGTATGGGTAATGCCATCGACGTTTTGTTAAATGCGAACATTGCACAATCGGTCTCTCATTCGGAAATCGCAATTCAACGTTGGTTGGTTTTGAAAAGATCGTGCTATGCGGCGTTTAAGAGAAATTGGTAATGAGGCGTGAGAATAAAGGGCGATGCCCCAGCCCTCCTAGCCAGCAAAGCTGGCGATATGGCTTAAAAGGGACCGGCCCGTCAACTAACAAAACCAACAAAAGCTCCGGAACAAAAGCTCGGGTAATGAGGCGTAACGGAATTCGACCATGGTAGGTTCGTGGGCCTGTCAGGACTGTAGTTTATTGTTCCTGTCATTTTTATCGTGTTGTCCAGGATCCCGTGACTGTCAGATGAACATGCAATGGATGGTTCCTAACACCATTTAAAATCTCAATGGCCCTTGCCGGATCGTACAGCAACGTAAAGCACCCTGAGTCAGGTATTTGCAACCATACCTACATCACAACAGACTGCCAGCGCGGGAACCATTTTGCAGCTTCCCTGACTATTACCGCAGCACGAACAGGAGCGCCTACATTGGTCCAAGGAACGACAACAATATACAAAGGAGTGGCACCACGTCGTCTTTTGAGACAAATCCCGGTTCTACGTGCTGCATCAAGATGAACGTATCCGTGTGTGATGGTATCGAAGAGAAGGGATATTGCCAGCTAGCACTCGTCATCGTCGTATGGGCCTAAACCTTCGCGTGCAGGTATAGAATTCCATTGGGTACATATCCCGGGTACTTTTTATATACACAGCTGGTAATGTGTACAGTCGCCGATACATTTCTGATGTGCTAAGGCCCGTTCCTGTGCTCTACCTTCGAGGCCTGTGTGATGGAATCTTTCAACAAAACAATACACAATCTCTTATTTCCCGTGTGCAGGAAGGTGTCAAAAAGATCGGTGACTAATGACCTTACTAGAGTTCAAAGAACTGCACGAATGGCAATAACTCTTGGTGCGGTGCAAGAGACAGGGAAATAACGCTTTTTACGGATTATTACAGGCAACGAGAGACACAGCTGCAAAACGGTACCCCAGAAATCAATCAGCCTCAATGATGTGGAAGCATCCCAGATCATCAGTAACGAAAAATTTCAAGTGTAGTAGTTTGTAAGGATGGATAAGCTGAAAAATGATCTGGGACGCAAAGGATGTCATTTTGATTGATTTCCTCACAATGAGTGCGGCATGCTTTTGCCCCATCTTTAACAGACTGAAGTCCGCAATTCAGAGCAAGAAACCAGGACTCTTAAGTCGAGGAGTTTTGTTCTTGGACTAAAATGCAAGGCTTCGCACAACAAGGGACACAAAAGAATAAATTCATTGCCTTGGGTGGTAGAGATTGTATCACCTGACCTGCAGCTCTGATCTTTTCATATCAGACTTCCACCTTTTTTTAGCGCTGTCAAGACATCACTTTCAAAACAATGAAGAGGTGCAGTAGGCTGTGATGAACTTCCTTAAATCGCTGAGCATCGATTTTTAACAGGATAGATTCTCGAAATTGATTTCACGTTGCGACAAATGTATCGATGTCGGTGGTGACTATTTAGAAAAAATAGCAGAAAGTTTGTATTTTATTATGCCATTGACTTTTATTTGTAATAAAGTTTCTTTGTGAGAAAGCACGACAAAACTTACTTTCGGAACGTTCCTCGTACTACAGTTGTGAAAAATAACTAAAATAGATATTGCTTTAACAGTGTATATATTGTATTGCAATATTGAATTCTATAGCTGTTAATATGCATAACTGTCTGTATGTTGTACCAGAAAATGTCACTGCGTACAGCATGACTTTCTCATTAATCAATAAGTTCCTTACAGATAACGGTAATTTATATGTTCTCAAAATAAGCCATCATCAGCAATTTTCAATTATTCACTTGCCATGCCCTTTACCTTCTTGTTCTAGTCCAGAACTTCTTTCAACAACTCTCATAGCGCTAAGCGTTTATTAAGCTGGTTTATTCCTTCAGCGGAGTGCAACAAGCTGATAAGTGCCTTAACTAGTGGAGCAATAGTTTTTTTCGATGGCAAAAACAAAGAAAACTAAATTGTTGAACAACTTACTATTTAGAACAACATTTATACTAGAATAGGCGTGCGCAAAATTTAGATTCATATTTTTTCTAAACATCGTTATGTAGATAAAATGATTATAGCCTACAGGAAAATTTTATTTGGTTCATTTACTAAAATCATCAGCCTACAACCAGCTGTTCAAGTGATACATAAAACCGTCAAATCTTTTTAAAATATGTTGAATAAGAACTTGAAGGATGAATAAGAGCCTGGTTTTAGTATGGGCCTAATTCATCTTTCAAAATCTTTAAAGCCCTTAAATATTTGCAAAGCTATGAAGATTCTTTCATACTGATACCACGTAGCACTGTACTTACTCTACGCTTACTCATAGGCACGGTATGATGTTTTCTTCAGATTAAGAGACTTAAATTTTTAAAAAATGTACTACGGAAAAATGTGAAGAAATTTTCAACTCAAAATTCCTCTTAATATATTTGGTCAAATCATTACCTTTTCATATCAATAAATATATTTTTCTTCAGCCACAAAGCGTTACTAGACATGTTATGCCATCTCTTGGAAGAGCGTTTAAGTTAATAAGAAACTGCCATAGTAGTCTCATATTGTCTAGGACACGGTTATGCATACTAATGAGTTGGTGGGAACCAATTCTTTCTTTCTAGGGAACACAAAGGTGAATGACATTAATAAAATGCTTCATCGTTCCGAGTAAATAATCATTAATTTTCTGCAACATTGTTAAATGAACTTTTAATTTTTGGATTTCATCCAATCACATGTACATTCCAATGTATGCTGTTTATTTGTCTAGGAGTCAAAAATTGATATCTACAAGGAAATGTGGCGGGCTATTTCAAGTGATCCAAAAAATTTAGTTGACAAGAACCCCGAAGGCAAAGCAAAAGTTTATAAGGAAGATTACGCTTACTTGATGGAATCTGCAGCCATAGAATATGTCACGGAAAGGGTTTGCAATATTACCCAGATTGGCGGACTTCTAGACAGTAAAGGGTACGGAATAGCTATAAAGAAAGGTAAATAAACTTTCCAACTAATTTCTCAACTGCTCATTCGTAAAAATGCAGAAAAAATTAAATAAAATATTGACATCTACAATTGCTCTTTAAATACTTTAAATTGTATTTTAATTTTATTTCGTAAGTTACTTAACCTCTTCGTCATCCGTAACGCGTCTAGCGCGTTCAAGTGAAACTTCTGCAGGGCGGCTGTAACGCGCTTCAAGCGTTCTACATTTTAAAACTTTTAAACGTTTAAAACGTTTTCTAAATGTTTACTTTTACTTTCTAAATGTTTTTTGTTGAGTTTTTATTTTATTTTATTTTTTTTTGTTCTAATACCTTTTAGAGAGCAGTACTAATCAGGCATTCTATTTCTAATTGAATTCCCTCCCCGGGTTTTATGAATATTCGCGCCATTTTACATAAGATACAAGACAGTGAGAGATCTTCAACGTCTACTCAGCAGGAAAAGAGAAAAAATGATGTTGTGAAATGGAAAGACAAGAAGGATATACGGTTTTATGAGAACAGTCCACAATAACTCTATGATTGATGTTGAAAACATGGAAAAGAACTGTAAAATAACCAATAATTGTAAAAGATTACAACAACAAAATGGGAGGAGTGGACCACCTGGATCAGATGTTATCAAATTAATCCTGCTGTTAGAAATAAGCAGAGATATTATTACTTTTCCATTATGCTTTATTTCCTTATAATTTTACTTAGTATTCATTTACATTCATCCACTGCGAAAGTTATGTATTTACAGAGAAAACAACATTGCACGCTGCGAAAAACAAAGGGCCGCTGGGGAGAAATTTTCGCGGCAGGAGAGGAAGACCAAAGGAAACCTAAGATTTTTATACCAAATTATTCATTCATATATGTAAAAATATCCATAAATATTTTTATACAAAATAATTCATTGCAATTTAATATATTAATATACTTACAAGAGCAAAACATACTGCTACTTGCGTACGGGTTCGTAAGAGACTGAATGCACACTTTGGGTTTTTAGATGACTATTAAACACCAATTTGTTATTAATAAATTAAAATATATGTATAGTATTAGAATGATATTAATCTGAGCGAATTTGTTATACAAAAGGGAAGGAAAAATAATTGCTTTGTTTATAATACATGCAATACCGTGATGCAGTCCTAGCTAAGCTTCATTACGCAATGCCAGTTATAAACATTCGCGTTTATACAGCGCCTATGTCTGTGTCACATAAATTCAATCACTATTAATTTTTTAGATTTGCATATTATATTTTAACACATGAAATATTTCAAAGAAGATGTTAATTTTTTAATTGAAATAATAATTGAATTTTAGTTGCATGCAGTAATAATACTGAAAAGTCTCTTCCATTTTTCTTTCTTAAAATACCATTAATACACATTAAAAAGTTATCTAATGAAAGGTACCGCTTGTAACGGGGTAGCTGGAAATTCCAAACACTATCTAGTAATATGCTTATGACCACATTTATAATTTAATTATCAAATCGAGAAGAAATGCCTGGAAATCAGGCTAGAAGCAAATATTTAAGCATTCAGGTCACCGAATTAGAAGAGAAAGGCAACTCCGAAAATTAAACTTTCCTCTGAAAAATGCTTATAAAATGAAGGTCGAAAGCATAATTGGAAAGTGGCGCCATCTTGCCACGCATATTGCTATTAAAAATGGTCGAATTTTAGAGTGGAATATATGTAAATCATTAAAAGAAATGTATTATTTGATGAAAATAAATTTTAGTAATCTTAAACTAGAGTAATTAGAAAACAGGAAGATGCTTTTTTGTGTAAGAATATATGATAGGTTGTCGATCTACTCAGGCTTCTGCGTCAGCTGAAAGATAACGATTTCTGTCTATGCACGAAAAACGCTACTCACAAATATAGGAGCTTGAAATGCTTTTATGTCAAATGCTAACATTAAATTACTGTATTGGACAGAAGAACTAAGAAATAAAATAAGTTATTAATAAAAAATTGATAGTTATTAATTGCAGAATTTTCAACTGTCAGGACATTTTTGATTTATTTTGACAGTAAGGTAAACAAACATGATGTGTTTGCGAAATATCATGAGATTGAATGATTTTTCGTACTCACTGGCGTTTACTCAGTAATAAAAGATTACTTCCATGTCATTTCAAAGAGACAGTGGTTAGTTAATCCAGATCCCTCGCATATTATGCTCCTAGACTTTATTTTCGACGGGAGAGGGGGCACTGCTTAAATGAGAGAGCGCCCATTGGTAATCCCAGAAAGGTAGAAGACTTAGAGGCCCAACATAAAACCTGCAAATTAAAGAAATTCCCCATCGTGTGTTATGATGGGTGTCCTTGGAATGTAACTGCAAAAAATTTAATATTTGCTAACACACTATTTCATATATCACTTATTTCTGTACGCTTTGTAGGAATACTTACTTAACTTTTCGATGGTTCCACGAATCCTCGGTTATGTTATGATATTTTAATAAGCTCTGGAAGTACATGAGTGCTATCGGCTTAGGGAAAGGGATGTTTTCATAAAGTACTCTCTTTAAAAAGTTGACTAGTATTCACATTACACATGGGGTAAACCATGAAACAAATATGAGGCTTCAATTCGAACCGAACCGAATTACACGTATTCAGCGTCTCTGACATTTGGCCACATTTATCCGAGAATTATTTATAATAATTTAAAAACCCATTCATTGCCACTACATTAAAAATATATTTTACTAGGAGTTTAGTAATTTCATCGATAGATATATATTTTTATGAATAAATAAATCAGGGTTGAAAAATTTCTCCATTTTTAAAAAATTTTATTTAATTTATTATGATTACACTCTTTTGCAAAAAAAAAAAAAAAAAAAAAAAAAAAAGGCACCATGAAGGAAGTGATTGTTTTTGATGAAATTGAATATGCGTATAGCTCATACACTGATAAGAAAATGATTGAAAAATCAAGGTCATAATACCTGTTTACGGCTTACAATCACCCATAGAGTGTTCAAATTAGTAGCTTTCGAACCGTCCCCGTTGTTAATGTATGCTTGAATTCGTCAAGGTAAGGAGCGGTAGAGGTTCCTAATGTCATCCTGCGACACATTCTGCCAGGCATTCATCAGTTGTCGCTCCAGATATGCGATATTTTGTGGTGCTCGAATCCGGTGGCCTACCGTTTCCTAGACATGCTCGATTGATGAAAGGTCTGTTGACCTTGCTGGCCAAAGAAGAGTACACACCGTACGAAGACAGTCCAGAGATATCGGTATGTGGCCTGGCATTATCTTTTTGGAAAATGGCCCCAGGTTGACGTGCCATGAAAGGTATTGCAACCGACAGCAGGATGTATCAACATATCGTTGAGCTGTTAAAGATGTTCAGAGGATGACTAAAGATGACCTGCTGTCATAAGAAATAGCTCCCCACACCATAACACCAGAAGTTATGGCTATGTACCTTTGTAAAACAAAGGCTGATTGGGACCGCTGGCCCCGTGCTCTACACATACGAACACGGTGGCCATCTGCTTCAAGAGTGAAGCGGGATTCATCGCTAAACACTATACGATGATAGTCTGATGGCAGCCATGACGATCGGCTGCGACACCACTGCAGACGACTCCGTTGTGGGGTCAAAGGCAAACGTCTTAAAGGCTTCTGTGAACGTAACCCCTCCTCAAACAAGCGCCGTGGAGATGGTGGACGGTCCACAGACGTGGCTGTAGTGCGTTGAATAGTCTACAATGATACCGTTGGTGCGGTTCGGGCCTGGCGAACCATCATCCTATCTTTCCTCGCATTTGTGCTCCTCGGCCTTCCAGCCTTCCAGGCCTTTTTTTTTTTTGCAAAATTTCCTTGTAGTAATCATTGCTGCCAACATCTTTGCACAGCAGTGTCTAAACGCTGCAGGTTGCGGTGTATTGCTCTTGCTTTGCACGTGACGCTGTTATTTCGTCTGTTACTTATTTAAGCTTTTCACATTGTTCTATGTCTTAAAATTAGAAATTTAAATTAATGACTTAAAACTGCAATAGTATACTACAGCAAAAGTGGGAAAATTGACAGTTTCACATGCGCGTGTGTCGGATTTGTGCAATGCTTATCTGGTCCCACAAAATTTTCGTAAATATTATGGGGCCTGGGGGTAGCGAAAAAATCTCAGTGATAAAAAGGGGTCGCGACTGAAAAAAGTTTGAGAAACCCTGATGTATAAGACCAAGCAAAAAGAAACTTTGTAGAGAGTGTTAGGTTTCTCAGCAAAGGAAACATCAAGTGCGCGTTCACAGAGACTCGCACTAAAGATTTCCATTTGTTAGGTCTATGTACGAGTATTAACCGCTTACACGACATGAAAGCTTATACAGAGAAGGCAATATTTTGTTTATATTCTTCTCCATTTTAAGAAAAATTTTACTGTCAATAAAATTGCACTTTTAATGGGGAATGATTCTCTTCATTGAATATCACTCTGTAGAGACATTGGGGTATTTTTGAAAGCAGGAGAGATGAAAAATTAGCAAAACCTTCCCCGGGAATCGAATCACGGACCTCTGAAATACGCGCCCAGCGTGCAGACCACCACACCACGAAGGCATGCCAAAAAGGCGGGAGAAATACCTTATATATTTCCGCTTTTAAAGGGCGACTGGGGTTTTAGGGAAACCAGTCGCCAAATCCTGGGTGTGAAAAATCATCATCCAACACCCTTTTAGTTCGGGCGTCACTTTAGAGACAGTAGTTTGCGTCACTTTAGAGTAGTAGCTTAGTTTAGGATATTTTTGAAAGCAGAAGAGATAAAAAATTAGCAGCGCTTTCGCCAGGAATCGAACCGCGGACCTTTGGCATACGCGCCCAGCAGACCACCACACCACGAAGGCATACCAAGATGGAGGGAAAAATACCTTATAACTCTTTGCATATTATTGGAAGAAGCGTGGGGCACAGTCAATCAGATCTAGGTAGTAATGAGCAATCGTTCACCGCATTTTTAGTTTGAGGGTCGCTGTTGTGACTAGTATCATGTTGCTTGAAATCAGAAAGTGTGAAAAATCAACTAAACCTTCTTTGGAATATTAACACGGAATTTTTATTGTTGATAGCTGAATGTGTTAACCACTAACACCACGACAGCACTCAAGAAAGATTGCGATATTTTCTTACAAATTATTCATATTCATATAGCCATTTAATACAACACTTAAAAGATTCAAAAATAAAAGTAAATATAAAATGTGTTAAGATGAAATGAAGCAAGGAAATATTAAACAATCTAAACAGTAAAAACCTTAAAAAAGAATAAAAATAGTATTCGAAAATTTCTTGCAGGAGTAAACATACCGAAAACTAATAGTATAATAATATTATTTGGTATTTGGTTTATATAATACATAATGCTACGTAATGCTACATAATGCTAATTATTTACAGTCTATTTTTTCATGAATTTTTCTTACTCCATTCGTAAAACTTTGAAAAGAAACTTTATTTCAAAGCATGAAAAGAAAATATTTAGTAAACATATTTGGTTGTTGCAAATAAAATGGGCTTTGAATGACGCGAAGTTTCTAACGATTGGGGAAGAAAGCAAGCGCTTAAGTTTATATAATTGTTTTCTCGTACCATATAACAACATCACACGTGCGTGATGCGACTGTAGTATTTAATATGTTCAAAGAACATCAAATATTGATATTAACCAGATCAGGTCGGTCATGGAATCCAGACAATTAAGTATGCCTTTACGAGTTTAAAATTTGGAATATTTGCTAAAGGAATAATTAGTGAAAGCTTCAGTTACCGATGGTTTGAAAAATTTCGTCCAAAATATTTGAATCCACAAAATGAGTCTTGATCCTTTCATCCATCTTTTATTGATTAGAATGAATTCAAGGATTTAAAATCAAATCAGATCCACGATAAACTGCAGCAGAGTACCCTCAGGCACTAAATATACACTTTTTAACTGTTGCACGGCCCTTGAGAATAAAGAGAAAAGCAAGGAAGTTCAATACTTTGGTTGGCTCCTGAGCTCACTGATGAAAGCAAGGCCAGGCGTCTGGCGGCATGCTCTTCCCACTTAAGAAGAACAAAGATAGAAGATTCTCAATAAGTTACATTTGTGGATAAGGAGCTATTATTCTGAAAGAATATTTCACATTAGTTGCAGTCGTTGGCAGTGAAAGACGCTCGAAAAAGGAATTTTAATGGTCCTTTACAGCCAGAGATATTGTTTATTGTATGGTGGTTTTCTACTAGTACTTTTTACTACTTATACCTTCAAAGAGATAAAATGATAAGTGCAGCTCGATATTGTTCGGACAGCGGCAAATTCATGACAAATTGCGCGTTAAGCAACGAGCACTTGTGAGTAGACACGGAGTTTTATTGCTTCAGGGAAACGATCGACTACACTCAGTAATATCAACCACACGGCAGATCAACAATGTAGAATATGAAATTGAGCTTCATTCTTAATTTTTTCCTGCAATATTCCCAAACATAAGCTGTTTAAGCAATTTTTACCAAGATATGCAATGATGCATCAATGTAACGGGCAATGCATGATTTCATTTCTTCCTGAGATGCTGTTTTTTTAGAAATGTAGTATAAGTAACCTTTTTTTGCACATCAGTTCTAAACATAACAGATAAATAAATTCCATTATCTTATAAGGTATTTCTTCCTCCTTCTTCGTGGTATGGTGGTCTGCACTCTGGACGCGTATTCCAGAGGTCCGTGGTTCGATTCCCGGCGAAGGCGTTGCTCATTTTTGACTTCTCCTGCTTCATAAAAAATCCTAATGTCTCTACAATTTGTCTCTTTTGTGCAATCTCATTGGTCTTCATTAGGAAGGCGGATATGTTTTTCGTAGTAAATGTAAAAATTCGAGAAGGTGTTTTAAGCTAAATCGAAAGCTGAAAGAAAGCTCATATTTTAGATTTTAAACTGATTATTATATACAGTAATATACATATTATCAGGGCTTAGTTTCAGTCTCAACTTCATTTTCATCATGCATCAATTTATAGGTTAAAAAAAGATTTTTCTTACTTTCAGAGATACTAATTTTGATAAGCATGCTATAAATGCCATTACTAGACATTGGCAACAATGCATTGTTATTTCTGGAAGCTATTTTTTATTAAACAAAAACTTTTTTAAATGCGTCTCTTTTACCTATCGTTAATGAAAAATAAAAGCGCTGACTCTTATCGGATATCGATAGACACGTGTTGAAAATGAACATAGTGTAAAAAGCTCTTCAAAATGAAGCTGTATTATCTAATTTCTTACATAAAATATATTTAACGACACAAGCGATCGAAGCTATTTATTTTTAGCATTAATATTTATAGATTTAAACATGAAAGAACTTTTGAAGCACACATTTCCATATGGAATACTATATACAAGTAAGGTAATTTCGAAAGGCTGGTAAAGATTATTTATTAGTGGTGTTCTGTTCAGATGCATAAAACTAGATGCAATAATTTGATACATATTTATTAAAATTATGATTCTCAGATGTATTAAAACTGGCTGAGAAGATAGTAAAAGATAGTCTTCTATAAAAATTTAAATAATTGCGTCTGTACAAAGCATTTAATTCGTTTTATCGGAAATTTCGAGCGATATTACATACGCTTAATTTTGAAATGAAAGGAATTCATTTTCAACAATAGTACAAACGATTAATTTTAGAATGAAAGGAAGAATCCAAAGAATAATTTGGCTTGTTTATGGCCCTTCTAAATTATCAAACACAATATTGGCTTAATAATGCGCTGAATGTGCAGGATTATCGATGTAATTATTAATACTTAAATTCATTAAATGATGTAATCAGTATATTTTTGCAATAGTAATTAGTGTAGTGTTGCGTCTGAAATATCTTCCTTGTTTGATATGTGTGTAGGCACTTTATACGAATTCGAAAGTTAATTATGAAACCTTTTTTGCAGTGTTTTTATTAATTGATCATAAAGTTATGTATTCCAAACAAATTAAACTCGAAAGTGACTAACCATTTATTTTAATATAAAATGAACAGGCGTATCTGTTTTTCATTGTATTTTGGGTATTTCCAAACATGCTTTTTCCGACATTCAGATTTTATATAATGTGCAAAATATTCTAACTTTGTAGATCTACGAGGAGAATCCATAAAGTAACGGCACATCCCCAGCGCTGGTTACTAGCAGTGTTGCCATTCCCTGGAAGAGAAATTGCAAATGTGCCGTTACTTTTTGAATTCCCCTTATATAAGAAGAAATAAACTATGGAAATGTAAAATAAGATTAAAAGTACAATTATAGATATGAGTATATTTAAAACAGCACTTCCTCATTTCGAGGGTGAGTGGCATTTGTCTTTCTTCAAAAGCGCAAATATATTGCTACTGTAGAAGATTGCTAATAGCCTCTTAAGTTGATATAGTTTAATTTAAAATTTGTGCAAATATAAGGTATTTTTATCTAAATTTATACTCTTTTCATTACATATAATTAAGTCACAAATATGGTTTTAGATTGTCCCGTTATGACAAAAATATATTCAGGATTTAAAAGCAATTATTTTTCTACAGTAGAATTTTTGAATATTCAAACTTCAGAAATTTTCGATAAATCTAACTAGAAGTCAAAATATAGAATTCGATACTAATGTTAACTCTTCTAGATAAATCGAATTTTTGGCTACTTGAACTTTTCCAACTGTTTCCATATTTCAGTTTATTCCTCTTCGATTGTATATCCGTTCGAAGACGTTTTACATCGAATTAAATTATTCTATATTGAAAAATTAAGTGGTTATAAGCGTGTGGGTGAATACGTTGCCTACTCATTAAAAATAACCGAACAAACCATTCTCATTTCATAACGCAAAAGTAGATCTATAAATACGATCTTCAACGATGTTATAAAGAGTAAAATTGTGGGAGCGTATCTGATAGGAATATGCAGATAGCTTTGTGTTTGCTGTTAGAACTTTGAAATGTACTGATGAATTTTTAAATTAGATGAATAACAATTTACGCAAAGCAATTTATTTCAGGATACGAATACAATTTTTCTTCTGAATTTAAATTAAAAGATATATAGCAGAATACATATTATTTCAGAGCAATCAATATCAAGCTTTCCATATATGAAGATTCATCATCATATGCCCCTTTCCGTCATAAAATCTCATTCGCGGATGCAATGGTCTGTCATATTCCATAATTGTATATGTTTGTTATGGCATAATGTTTACATTTTATGAGGTATTAAAAGAAACTTTTAAACATTCTGAACAAAGTTTCAAAAGTGATAATGGCATCAATGCGACAAGACACGGTTTACAATTTGAAAACAAAGGAGACAATTATCTAATATGATGATACGCTCTCCAGAATCCCTCAGGTATACGCGCTTTCTTTCCAAGGCCCGTTTTGGCCCAATCCATTTGAATCGTTAAATATGCGATCTCGTTTCATTTCGAGGAGAAAGAATTACGTATTTGGACATATCCGAATGTTAATTGATTCGGTAACAGCTTGCTAATGTCGTGTTTAGAAATTTCAATCATCCGAATTCCATCTACTGAGATGGTACAAATAAATTTAATTTACAACATGTTAAATGATTATAAAGCTGTATTTTCTGAAGTCTGAACGATTTTCTTTAATAAATCATTTAGAAGTCAATTTTTTATATTTAACTTGTTATATTTCAGGCAATAAAGACTTAGGAGCATGGTTATCAATGGGAATACTCAAATTGCAAGAGCGTGGCACACTTCACATTTTAAAAGAGCGCTGGTGGAAGCAAAGAGGGGGAGGGAAGTGTGCACCTTCTTCTAAACAGTCATCAGGATCAGCGCGAAAACTCAGTCTTGACAATGTCGGTGGAGTGTTCGTCGTTCTGATATTTGGATTAGCTGTCGCCGTTTTGTTAGCGGTAATGGAGTTCAGCTGGAAATCGGCACAATGGGAAAATCCAAATAAAGTAAGTAAACCAAAGTAAATTTTGAACAGTATATTCAAAATGTAATGTAAATGATTAATATCTTTAACCAATTGGGCACCTTTTTCCCTTTTTCATCCAGTAATGAAGTTTAATTTCGCATTTGACACATTACCTTGTCCTTTCAAACGTAATTACAAAAAAAAAAAAAAAAAAAAAAAAAAAAAAAACATTACTTGAAAACTGTTAAATTTTGTCAAATGATTCGAATTTTAAAACGCTAAAGCAAATCTGAAACTTCATTCTTATTTTACACCTTCCTCATATTTTTGGCATTTGTCGAACTGAAGCTTTCAAAAGATATTGAATTTGGTTGAGTTTCAGCACCTTTGGCAATTTTTATGTAGAAGCTGGGAAGCCCATAGGACAGAAACAGGACTGTATGAAACTGTTCACGTGTGCTGGATGAAATCGGAATTTAACAAAACAACACTATAGATTAAGACACCTTTTTTGACACCGTGCGCTAAGTTTTACCCATTTTTACTGTACTCTCGCTTTGAGTATTTGTATCATACTCTTATTTTCTGGAATGGCTTAAAAATCATTCTGATTATTTGAAAGTTACGAAAATGAAATGTATTTCGCCAGGTCATGGCTGTTAATTTTTTGCTTTTAACTTTTCATTAATGTATAAATTTATTTGCATTTCATTTTAACATTTTTTTGTGTGAAATATTTTGAAAATGATTTACAGGCTTTTAACTGATTCTAAACTTTAAGCGCTCGGTATTCGTAAACGGATATATTTTAAACGGATATATTTTACGGATATATAAGTTTTATGTTCATCACCATTTATTTCATTATAGAATTCATCAGACTTAAAACATTTTTCTGTTTCTAATTATTTTCCTCATTTGTAGAATACTATTTAGGTTACATTTTTTCTCTGGCTGAATAATAACCGTTCACCATATGACTGTCTACATCATTCCGGGAATCACTCATTTAATGAAATGCCAGACTCTTCAGAAATTCAATTATTACTTTCACAATTAGTTACCAAATTAATGTAATTGTCTTTATTGTTTTTAAGGTCTAAAATATTAAATGCACTTAAAATAGTGATTTAAATATTACTGAACATTTTGATTATCACCGTGTAATGATTCAAATGCAAATTCAAGGACATATGCGCATTTCACAATCGGTATGCTTTCATTTGTTCAATGTGACATACGACGTGTAGGGTTAAATTCAGTGTGACGTCAGAAGTCACATGCGTTTGATAAGGCTTAGAGTATTTTCTTGAGAGTTTTGAATTTTTGACATATGGCATTAACATTAATTAAAAAAATTCAATGTATTATTGTATGCTATATGTAGTTTATATAGTTTTTTGTATGCTATATGTAATTTATTGTATGCTATATGTAGGCCATTTGTTTAAAGAAAATTAATTAATATTCTATGAAACGTTCTTTTTTACAAGAAATTAATCTAAATTCTTTTTCAGGAATCATTCTGGACACGTATTAAAAAAGAGATTAAATTCACAATGTCTTTTGACGTCACAGCTAAGCCAGTGCCTCAACTGAAAAAAAATAAGTCAGTGACTCCTACAGTTGAAAACAGCAGGGCATCATCACACAGTCGTGGAACAAACAAAAGTGTGTCTTGATAATACTTTTCCTTCATTGTCATAAAAATAATTTGTACATAAAAGCAAAAAATCATGTCACGCAAGAATATATATTCTGGATATTCTCTTTACAAACTGCTTCAGAGAATTTCGAAAACTTTCATTCGAGTAAGAAAAATGTGTCCACAAGAAGTATTTATGAATGTTAGGTCTAATATTCAATGACTTTCTTCTTATATGTGTAAAGTCAAGAAAATCACTTATTGGAAAAATCGGTCACATACTCATAAAAATTGTAAAACTTGTTAACTAAATAAAATAGTACAGCCAGTTCTCAAATATCTGAATATCGATTATTCGCTGAAGTATGGGTGCGGTGAACGAAATTCTTTGAAATTTTCCAATCGCCGTTCAACTAATATCTGATAGTTTAATTCTTGATTGGCTAAAATGCAAGCTATTTTTGTATTCATCGAACCTATTTTGCTACCGATGCTCATATTAACAAACTTGTTGCTTACTCAAATTATCGTAATGTATCGTTTAAATGAAAAAAGAAATTTGAAAGTGAATTAGCCTAAATTATTATTTCCCTATTATGTCTTTTACACCTAAAGAAGTTATGGTTTCAATTGAAGATAAGTTAACAGCTATCAATAGTTTAAAGAATGTGAAAAACAACTGCGTTATTTGTGGCTTATAGTGGATTAAATCAATGATTAGGGGTATTATTTTTCCAATTCGTTTTCAGCTCCTTTTAACTTTTCCTCCCCTACTTTCAGCCCTCCTCTCTAAGATTTGTAACTGAATGCTGAAACAAAGTGTTTAAATTTTAGAAATAATAGATTTAAATACTATTCTGGTGGTATACTGAAATTTCTAATTTTTAAATAGAAAAATAATTTTTTTTAACGAATGTTAAATTAATTATCCGAATCTTTTCTTATCTATTATCAACGCAAATAGTCGACAGACATATGTATTTTCAATAAAATGACCAGTATCAACGAATAAAAAGCTCTTTAATACAGAAAAATAAACAAAAAAGGAGAAGGAAAAGTAAGACTCGGATCTTCAAGGAACTCATTTTTCGATGAAGGGGGGAAGAGGGGAGAAGAAAACAAAAAAGAAAATGAAGCCTAATCCATTTCTCTAGCAGTAAAGCTAAGAAGCACGCGGAAGAACTTGAGTAAATGAACTTCATCCGTAAGGAAAAGGTTTTCTTTTCCTTTGTTCATTCTCTGTCTGTACGCGGTATCCATTTTATGATTGGCCTTCAGATTCTCTTAAAGCAATAAGCGAAGTTAATGTTTCACCACGAAATAACTACGAAAATAGGAATAACTAACGCATTAGCCTCACACGGTTTATGATATACGTAGGTAAGTTGAAAGATAAGTTTCCTCTGTCGACTGTGGTCAGAGTTGTGTATGAAAGTCAAAAAATAGAATGAGACATTAAAAGATATGAAATACCTTTATTTTTCCTCATAGGTACCAAGTACATTGAGACATTTGTCATATCGCTTGATAAGCTTCAAAAAGCCCTCCAGGAAAAAATCAGGGCTTTGCATATGGAAGAAGCGTTGAACGGCTTGTTTCACTTCAGTATTGCGAAGGAAGGTCAAGACAACTCCCTCTGCAGGTAAAGTGCTCCTCACAGTTTTCTGGGACGCCCAAGGAGTTTTGTTGCTGGACTTTTTGGAGGTTGGAACCATCAATGCTACGCGCTACTGTGACACCCTGTCGAAATTGAAAGAGGCGATTCGGAAACAGCGGCCTGGCCTTCTCACATTTGGCGTTCTGCTGTTGGATGACAATGCCAGACCACATTCGGCGATGGCAACGCAAAACCATATTTCAACTCTTGGTTGGGAGCGCCTACACCATCCGCCATACAGTCCTGATCTCGCACTAAGCGACTTCCATCTGTTTCCGACTTTGAAGAAAAATCTCGGGGAAGGCGCTTTGGAAGCAATACTGAAGTGAAACAAGCCGTTCAACGCTTCTTCCATATGCAAAGCCCTGATTTTTTCCTGGAGGGCTTTTTGAAGCTTATCAAGCGATATGACAAATGTCTCAATGTACTTGGTACCTATGTGGAAAAATAAAGGTATGTCATATCTTTAATGTCTCATTCTATTTTTTGACTTTCATACACAACTCTGACCACAGTCGACAGGGGAAACTTATTTGTCAACTTACCCTCGTAATTTCATATTGCTTTGATCTCAAAGAGCCACTATTTAGCGCTTTTTCCTTGAAAAGCGAAATGCGACGGTCACGGAAAGAAGGTGGACTGAATTGTACTAAATATTAATAATGTAAAATATATTAATAATGCGAAAAAATACTATCACTAATGAGCTATGCTAATAAATACTAAATATATAAAAATTAATGTTAAAAATAATTTAAATAGTGAAACATATATAAATATTAATAAAATATTCTATTAAATACTAATTATAGTGTCTCTTCACGCTAAATTATTCAATGCAATAAATACCATTAGTTTGCTGTACTCGTGTTTTAAAAAATACTCAGAGTTGCGCATTAGTTCCATAGCTGTTCGCATCAGCCAGCATGTCTTGTGCCACTTACTTTTACATTAAAGCTCGGACGCGAAGCAAGTTTTCGAGCATGCGCAAATATATGGCTCAACATTGCATTGTTCAAACACATATAATGAGTATATGAGAAATTTAATAAATAGCTTTTAAAACCCTATCACTGTAACGTATATTGAAAATCTAGAAGCACATAATTCAAACATACACTTTACAAACAATACACAGCTTATAATATTCATTTAAAATTAGAAAATATCCATGTGATGTACAGCAATTTCATTCTGTCATGGACAAGTCTACATTTTTCAAAATACACCATTTAAAGATTATAAGATATTTCTACCGCCTTCGTAGCATGCCTTTTTAGTGTAGTGGTCAGTACGCTCGGCGCGTATTCGAGAGGTCCGTGGTTCGAGCCCTGGCGAGGGCGTTGCTCAGTTTTCATCTCTCCTGCTTTCAAAAAACCTAATGTCTACAAGATATCAATTTGGATTTTTACCTCGACAATACAAATCTTCTTATCATCACCATAATATATCGTTATATCGATTATTTTACACAGAGCACATTTGTACGTAGGTTATATCTTCTATCCATATAACCCTATTTTGGCCATTGTAATTCCACAATTTTTATTATTGTTCGTGATTTATTAAATTTAATTTTACACAAAATTGATAAAAGATTCTTATCACCATATTATATCGTTATATCGATTATTTTACACAGAGCACATTTGTACGTAGGTTATATCTTCTATCAATATAACCCTATTTTGGCCATAGTAATTCCACAATTTTTATCATTGTTCGTGATTTATTAAATTTAATTTTACACAAAATTGATAAATTCTTATCATCACCATAATATACATCGATTGTTCTACCCAGAGCCCATATAACCAATTATCCACCATGAACATTGTGATTTTCGAATCTCCATTTGTTATTACGTTGTTGTAATTCGCTCTCGTAACTATGGCACTATGTTGCCCAAATGAGTTGGACAATTTTTGTTATTCTCCGTCATTTGTTAAGTTTATGAGTCTCAAAATTATTCTTGATAGCTGATAACTGGCAGAGAGATCTCTAATTTAAGATTTCCTCAATTTGCATTAATACTTTGATGAATTCTTTATACGTTTACTCTTAATACAACTCTTTTAAAGTGGTACTAAAATTATTTTAAATCAGCTTTTCAAAGGCATCAGAAATTCTGTGCCCGGGTGAAATGAATTTTATTTAATTTTTTCGACAGATAAATAATCAGTTATCCTCTTTTTACTAACTTGTGAAGTCTTTCAATACTTTTGTAACAGTACATTATTTGTATTATCAGAATACAAGCCAAATGAGTACTCATTATGAAAAACACCCTTCCTCTGAATTCTGTATTTTAATAAGAAAGGACAGTAAAGTCCACACCAGCACACCTAAAAAATAATGAGGAACAACTTGGGCTTTTGGCTGGCTACCCATTATTTGTGTTAACACAAGTGAGTTGGCTTTAAAACAAATAATGCACTCGTGTTACTATGCGATAAATGGATCGAGCTACTTTAACAGAAAAAAAAAATTATTACATAACTCAGTAATATAAGAGACGCATGTAAGACTATTTATAACAATGTGTAGTAAGAAGTATAGGAAATTTAAGATTTTTTGACATGTTTGCTGAGTATTTTTGATATTTTTGTATTACTTAAACGGCTTTCGGCTTGTACAAAGCCATCAGAATCCATAAAAAGGCTTCAGACATTTTTAATTTATATTTGGTAAGACACTTCCCTTACGAATGGCTCGGTCAAAATACTCCTGTTGAGACATTATAGTTAGATATTTTTACACTTAGTTCACTTCAGCAACACCAACCAACAGCCGCATTCGTTAGCGAACGGAGTTTTCAAATGTGTCACAAAACTGAAAATATAACTTTCAATTGATTAAATTCTTAAAAAAATAATATTTTATAGTACTTAATAGTTAACAGTAAAATGCGGGAGAGTTATGAACAGCTGCAGTAGGATAATGAAAAATTATATACTTCTATTCTGTGATTAAATATTCAAGTTCTTTTATGAAATTACAGTCACAAAGAATTTTTTAAACATGATATAATTTAAAAATAAAAAAATAGATTTTTACATTAAAATCAACTAATTCAAAAATAAATTACCAAATTTCAAGTTTTTTTTAGAAATGAAGGGTTAGGTTGTACTTCATAATTGTCAAGATTTATATCAAAGACGACATTCATTCCTGGATATGACAGTGGTTACCTAGATCAGTGGTCTCCAACCGGTTTTGCTGTAAGGGCTACTTTTAAATTTCTGCCATACCTCGCGGGTACCCGATTTTTATATTCGGAAAATGCAAATATCACGAAAATATGTGATTTCACTGAATGATTTTCGGTTTCAAAATAAAAAGAAATTAACACAAACTGGAATAAATGAAAAAAAAATCACTAATAAAACGATTCTGATAGCATAAAAGAAACATATAAGCGTAAAAGAACGTTGGGAGTATAAAAGACACCGATTTGGTTCCTGCTATCCGAAATGGGAGCTTATGTTCTCCCTGAGTATGGTGGCATAAGCCATTCGAGTGTGTAGAGCAGTGGCCAAATTTGAATGGTTTTGGTATGCTCCATACTTTTCATGATATCAGGAATGGTGATCTTGAGAAAGCCAGGGCAGCAAAATGGTGCTTTACACAGTCACTGGAGAGTTTTGATGAGACTCCACCTCCTTACTAACACGAAGGTA